GCACGACCCAATCGCCGACTTCATCAACGCGTTGTCGGCGGACATCATAGATTTCGCCGCCGACCGTTCCTTCGAGGAGTTCAAAGAGGCGACCGGGCTGCTCAACGACCTTGGGCAGTACGACAACCTCGTCTCGCGATCCCAACGGATTGGGTACCGCATCAGCAAGGTTGTGTACCGAGGCTACGAAGCCTCCGATAAGCTGCAGTCGATGCACGACGACGCCATTGAACGCCGCACAGCCCTGAAACTGGAAGCGGAAACGGAACGACAGGCTCAGGAGCTGGCCGATCTCAAGCTTGAGCGAGAAGCACAGCGTGACGCCCAACGGCAAGCTATGGTGCAGGCTCAAGTCGAACACGAAGAGTCGCTGGCGCAGTTAAAGCACAACGGTGAGCTGACGCGGCAAGAAGCAGATCACCGACAGAGAATCGCACAACTGCGGGAAGATCATCAGGTCGAAGTGGAGCATTCTCGAGCTACAAACGAAGTCCGGCTGACGAACCTTAAGCAGATGAAGGATTTGCAGGTTGATCTGACGCGGTATTTGGTCGCCCAATACCAACACCCGGATCGCCTGATCCGCGTCGACGGTGGCCGCGGCCCACAGTTGCATCTGCACGAGAACTAAACTCGAAAGTCTGAACCATGAATGATGCCAAGCTCGAGACGCTATACGATGGTCGCCATTTATCGATGCTCAAGCGAGACGGCTGGGAGTACGCGAGCCGCAGTACCTCGAATCCGGCTGTTGGTATCGTGGCAGTCACCAATGCCGGCGAAGTGGTACTTGTTGAGCAGCACCGTCCAACCGTGGGCCAAACAGTCACCGAACTTCCCGCTGGTCTTAGCGGCGACATCGCTGGCAGCGAGGACGAACCACTTCTCGAAGCTGCAAAACGAGAACTGTTCGAAGAAACTGGCTACGTTGCCAGTAGTTGGAGCGAACTGGTCAGCTGCTTCACTTCACCTGGGCTTACGGATGAATCCATCACGATTTTCTTCGCCCAAGGCCTTGATAAAGAAGGTCCCGGAGGGGGCGATCAAAGTGAGAAGATCACAGTACATGAAATCCCCTTCGAAGAGGTTCTGCCCTGGCTACGAACTCGTGGGGCGACCGCTGACCTAAAATTGCTCGCGGGCTTGTTTGCTGCTAGTGAGCATCTACGCCGGAAAGGAATGATCGATGAGCCTTGATTCCCGAATGGTTGAGGATCGTTTCGTCGGTTGTCTCCTGGGCCTCGCCGTTGGCGATGCACTGGGCGCGCACTTCGAGGGGCAATCCCCAGGTTTCCTTGCAAATCGTTATCGGTCCGTAAGTGAACTAATCAACAACCCGCCGCCGGGCGAGCTGTGGTATACCGACGACACTCAGATGATGATTGGTGTGGCTGAAACGCTTGTGGCTTCGGGCCGCATCGATGAAGAGAGGCTTTGCGCTCGGTTTGCCGCCAATTTCATCCCGCAACGTGGATATGGTCGTGGGGCAAAGGTCGTACTCCAGGCGATGTGCGATGGCGAGGACCATCGCCACTGGGCCGAGAACCTCTTTCCAGGCGGTTCCTTCGGGAACGGGGCCGCTATGCGTGTTGCGCCGGTCGGACTGATGTTTCGTGATGATCACAACGCCGTGTGGGAGCAGGCACGGTTATCGTCTCTGCCGACACACGTGCACCCGCTCGGGATCGAGGGCGCTCAAATCGTTGCGCTTGCTGTGGCGCTGGCTTCCACGTCAGTAAGATTCGATCGTAGCGATTTCTTCCACCAGCTCGCATCGCGATGTTCATCACTCGAATACAGCGGACCGCTCGGGCGGGCAAGCCGCTTGGATCATGTTCGAGATCTCGGCCTGTTTGGCAACGGCATCGAGGCCACTGCGTCGGCAGTGACTGCGGTAGCTTCTTTCGGTCTGACGCCTGATTCGTATGAAGAAACAATCGGGAACGCAATCTTACTCGGTGGAGACACAGACACGATCGCGGCGATGGCGGGCGCCATCAGCGGTGCATACCTTGGAGCAGAAGCGATCCCTGGCCACTTGCTGGAGAGCCTGGAGGACCGAAAACAGGGAAGAAATTATATCGAACAACTTGCGAAGGATCTCTATCGGTCCTACGCCAATGCGACTGCATAACGACGGTTGCGAACAGAAAGAAGAAAAGATGAATCCACAAAAATTAAAACAGATTAGCAAGCGGCTTAGTTACATCCTCCGCCATCGCCCCGACTCTGTGGGCTTGAGTCTTCAGGAAGGTGGTTGGCTAAATCTAGACGAGCTGCTGGATGCTCTTCAGCGGACGGGAAAGCCAATCTCTCTGCCAGTACTCGAGGCCGTAGTTGCTGAGAATGATAAGCAGCGATTCGAGTTCTCGGAGGATCACAAGCGGATCCGCGCCCGCCAGGGTCATTCGACAACAGTCGACCTTGGCTACGAACCCGCGACTCCACCAGCCGTGTTGTATCACGGCACAGCAACCAAGCACCTCGACTCGATACTGAAAGAAGGGTTACTAAAGGGCCGGCGACACCATGTGCACATGTCGACCAACCAGGAGACGATGCTGCAAGTTGGCATGCGGCATGGGAAACCGGTCCTGCTGGCAATCGATGCTTACCGCATGCATGCGGATGGCTGTCAGTTCTTTGTGACTGGAAACCAAGTGTGGTTAACCGATCACGTTCCGCCGGAATATCTGACGACGATGGAGACGTAATGCATTGTTTGGACTGACACCTCAGAAGGTGTGATGAACTTTGTCAAGTCAGCCCAAAGTACTTGTCGCACTGTTTCCGCGACCTTCTGGTATTCATGCTCATCAATTCGTGCGGGCGTAATTCATTTCTTACACGACCATCAACTGCATCGCGATCGCACCTACCCCCCCTCTTCGTTCGGAACACGCCTGCTCAACATAGATGGTGCGGTTGGCGTTATGCCAGCAACTCATCCGCCATCCAGGTAGGTCAGGGCCTGCAGCCGACTCATCGAATTAATAACGCAATTTGCACACCTAAGAAGATTCCGAGGCCAACTGATCAAAGCTAGGTAGGATTCTCAACCGAGCCATGCCAATTACGGGTAGGCGGAAAAAAGTACTCTGCAGTCCTTGAGTCTGGCTACCGCTTTCAAGGCAAATGCGCTTAGTCTCTAACTGCACGTTAGTCACAGAGTCTCAACAGGACGTTTCACTAGGGTGCACAAGTGGGTTGTCAATTGTCTCCCATCGGCACCGAAAAGGGTGTAGGCATTGACGAAGTTGTTTCATCCATCCAACTCCCCTGCGAATCTCGCGTCGGCGGCAGCATCGCCAAACTGTGGCGGTGCGAAAGCGAACCGCAACTAAGCTCATTCTCAGGGGCGGTTACAACGGGCCATAAGCCCGGGAATATGACAAGGGTGAGCGATTAAACGCACGCTCCCTCGATCAAGACTCCATGTTCAGTCACCCCCTGCCCCGAGTTCCTGTTCCATTCCGTTTCGAACCTGATTAGGCTGCTCCAAGAAATCTAGCCCGGTAGGGTCCGGATTCGGAGCCAGCCCCTCGTAGTAAAACCGAACTTTTGATACGCTTTAGCTTATGTCTGGATTGTGAATATTTTCACAGGAACTGTCGTGCCAAAGAATATAGCCATTTCGAGGGGGTTAGAGATCCCCGTTGCCGGTTCGCCGGAGCAGCAAGTGGAAGACGGCCCTGTCATTAGGACGGTTGCGCTGCTCGGGGACGACTACATCGGCATGAAGCCAGCGATGGAAGTCGGCGAGGGCGACCAGGTAAAAAAAGGGCAAGTCCTCTTCCAAGACCGGAAAGCTGCCGGCGTCGTTTATACGTCACCGGCCGCAGGTCGCGTTGCCGCGATTAATCGAGGGGAGAAGCGGAAATTCCACTCAGTCGTGATCGAGGTCGAAGGCGACGCGGCCGAAGAGTTTACTTCGTACCCCGATCACAACTTGAAGCAACTCCCGCGAGAAAGCGTGGTTGAGAACCTGCTGCGGTCCGGATTGTGGACGGCACTTCGCACGCGACCTTACGGCAAGGTGCCTTCGCCCGAGAGTTCGCCGAAGTCGATCTTCGTGACGGCCATCGATACGAACCCGTTAGCGGCCGATCCCTCGGTAGTGCTCCGCGAGTACGACTACGAACGGTACTTCAAATATGGTCTGCAGACGTTGACCACCCTGACCGAAGGTGAGGTCTTCCTGTGCGTTGCCGCGGATCGCAACATCCCCGGCAAAGATGAAGGCGGAATCACCACGGTTGAATTTTCTGGGCCGCATCCGGCGGGGCTGGCGGGCACCCATATTCACTTCCTCGATCCGGTTAACGAAGCGAAGACCGTCTGGCATCTGGGCTATCAGGACGTGGTGGCGATTGGCTGCCTTTTTCTGACGGGCAAGTTGATGACCGACCGCGTGATTTCGCTCGCCGGGCCGATGGTCGACAAGCCCCGACTGGTGCGGACGCAACTCGGTGCTTCGCTGGCAGATCTTACGGCCGGCATCGACACGAGCGAGTCACGCGTGATCTCGGGATCGGTTCTCGCTGGCAGAGCTTGTGTCGCACCGAACGAGTACTTGGGGCGATACCACGTTCAGGTATCGATACTGAAGGATAAAATCGAACGCGAGTTGCTAGGCTGGGCACTTCCCGGCTTCAGCAAGTTTTCTGCAACACGCGCATTCGCTTCCGCCTTCGCCAAACCGTCGCCGGCGGGTAAGGCGTTTACGACCTCGACCGAAGGTAGTGTTCGAGCTCTCGTACCGATTGGAAGCTATCAGGACGTGATGCCGTTGGATATTATCGCCACGCCGCTATTGAAGGCTCTGCTGGTGCAAGACACGGACACGGCACAGGCACTGGGTTGCCTTGAGCTGGACGAGGAAGACCTCGCTCTCTGCACGTTCGTTTGTCCAGGAAAGAATAATTATGGACCTCTTTTGCGTCAGAGCCTACGAACCATCGAGCGCGAAGGGTAATTTCTAAATGAAGCTGCTGCGCCAAATGCTCAATCGCGTGGAACCAATGTTCACGCATGGCAAGCTGAAGACACTGTATCCGGTGTACGAAGCGATCGACACCTTTCTGTTCACCCCGGGTGAATCGACCAAGGCTGGTTCGCACATTCGCGATTCGATCGATCTGAAGCGAATGATGAGCCTTGTGCTTGTGTCGTTGCTGCCGTGTATCTTTATGGCGCTATACAATACGGGGCGGCAAGCGAATCTGGCCATCGCCAGTTCGCCGGACATTGGACCGCTTCAGAGCTGGCGAACGGATCTTCTCAGCAACATCGATTTTGCCTACAACCCGTCGAACCCGTTGGACAACCTTCTGCTGGGCGCGCTGTATTTCTTGCCCGTCTATTTGGTAACGGTCGCCGTCGGGGGTGCGTGGGAGTTTCTCTTCGCGGTCGTGCGAAAGCATGAGATCAACGAAGGGTTCCTCGTCACCAGTATTCTGTTTCCGCTCACTTTGCCCCCCACGATCCCCCTGTGGCAGGTCGGGGCCGGAATCACATTCGGTGTTGTGATCGGAAAAGAAGTCTTCGGCGGCACCGGCAAGAACATCTGGAACCCGGCGCTCACCGGCCGTGCCTTCCTATACTTTGCTTACCCGGCCTACATGACAGGTAATACGATCTGGACGGCCGCCGATGGATTCAGCGGTGCGACTCCACTCGGCCTTTTGGCCGACGCGGAAGTTACGCAAAACGTGAGCGTGGTGGGGGTCACCTGGATGCAGGCATTCCTGGGAACCATGCAAGGGTCGATGGGTGAAACCTCGACGCTGGCCTGCCTTTTCGGGGCGGTCATTCTCATTGGTACTGGGATCGGCTCGTGGCGAATCATGAGCGCAGTCGTGACGGGTGCCATCGCCACTTCGCTGGTGTTCTGGCTCGTACCCCATAGCGGCGGACCGCTGTTGCACTTGCCCCCTTGGTGGCATCTTGTTATTGGCGGGTTTGCCTTCGGCACAGTCTTTATGGCAACCGACCCTGTCTCTGCTGCGATGACACACACGGGCCAATGGCTTTACGGCATTCTCGTCGGTGTAGTGACCATCCTTATTCGCGTGATCAATCCTGCGTATCCCGAGGGAATCATGCTGGCGATCTTGTTTGGTAATACGATGGCCCCGCTAATCGATTACTACGTAATCCAAGCGAACATCCGACGCAGAAAGGTTCGCTATGCAGCGTGACAGTGTGCTAGGAACGATCTTGGTCGCCACGGCGCTTTGCGTTGTGTGCTCGGTGCTTGTTTCGTCTGCCGCAGTTGGATTGCGTTCGCAGCAGATTGAGAACAAGCAACTTTTCCGTCAGAAGAACATCCTGCTTGCGGCCGGGCTGCTTCAAGATGGAGAAAGCGCCTCGACCGCTAGGATTAATGAGCTCTTCGAAAACATTGAAACGGAAGTGATCAATCTCGACACCGGCGAGCCGACCGATGCGGTCAACGTAGAAACCTACGACCAAGAAGAGGCCGCACGTAATCCCGAACTTTCCGTACCAACCGAAGGGCTCGACGGCTTTCAGCGGCGTGAAAAATACAGCCGCGTATACCTGCTGAAACAAGATGGAAAGATTCAGAAGATCATCTTGCCTGTCTACGGAAAAGGTCTTTGGTCGACCCTTTACGGCTACCTTGCCCTTGAAAGCGATAAGAACACGATCGCCGGCCTGACATTCTACGAGCATGGGGAAACGCCGGGGTTGGGTGGAGAAGTCGACAACCCGGTGTGGAAAGCCAAGTGGGTCGGCAAAAAGGTTCGAAATCCAGAGGATCAAATCGTCATCGAGGTCCTCAAGGGCAAAGTCGATCCGTCGAGCGACGATGCCAAGTATGAAGTCGATGGCCTGTCGGGCGCCACGATCACTAGTCGAGGTGTCTCTAACCTCGTGCGGTACTGGATGTCATCCGAGGGGTTTGGCAAGTTTTTGGAGCAATTGTGATGACGAAGGAAAGCGCGTCCGAAACTCTTTTCGGCCCGATCTTCAATAACAATCCCATCGCGCTGCAAGTGTTAGGCATTTGCTCGGCACTCGCGGTCACAACTAAATTGTCGACCTCGATCACCATGTGCATCGCGGTGATCAGTGTTCTGGCGCTTTCGAATGCGGCCGTGAGCCTGATTCGCACCTTCATCCCAACCAATATCCGCATCATCGTGCAGATGACGATCATTGCGACGCTGGTGATCTGCGTGGATGAGATCCTCAAGGCCTACGCTTACGAGATCAGCACGACCATGTCGGTCTTCGTGGGCTTGATTATCACCAACTGCATCGTCATGGGTCGGGCCGAAGCGTTCGCCATGAAGAACCCGCCGGGAATCAGCATGCTCGACGGAATCGGCAACGGCCTGGGTTACAGCTTCATTCTGATCGTGGTTGGTTTCTTCCGCGAGCTGTTCGGTTCGGGTGAGTTGTTAGGCTACAAAGTGCTGCCTGTTTATCAGGCCGCCACTGCAACGAGCGAAGCCAGCGGTTGGTTTGTGCCCAACGGCCTGATGCTTTTACCCCCCAGCGCTTTCTTCATCATCGCCATGAGTATTTGGGCCATCCGCACCTGGAAGCCCGAACAAGTGGAGGCTGCCTAATGGACTCCCATTTAAGTATTGCTCTGTCGTCGGTATTCAGCGAGAACCTCGCCCTGGCCTACTTCCTGGGCATGTGCACGTTTCTTGCCGTTTCGAAAGACGTGAAGACGGCCTCCGGTTTGGGCATTGCCGTTATCGTCGTGATGGGGATCACCATTCCGGCGAACAATCTCATTTATCAATACTTGCTGAAGGGCGGACCACAAAGCGTATTGCGGTTCATCAACCCTTCCTACACGCAATACGATCTGACATTTCTCGGCCTCATCAGCTACATCGGCGTGATCGCAGCCATGGTGCAGATTCTGGAGATGTTGCTCGATCGGTTCTTTCCGCCTCTCTACAATGCCCTGGGAATTTTTCTACCGCTCATCACGGTCAACTGTGCAATTCTCGGTGGTTCGTTGTTCATGGTGGAACGAGACTACGACTTCCTGCAAAGCGTCAACTATGGATTCAGCGCCGGAGTTGGTTGGGCCCTCGCCATCATGGCATTGGCTGGGATTCGCGAAAAAATGAAGTACAGCGATGTGCCGGTCGGCTTGCGTGGGCTGGGGATTACTTTCATGGTGGTCGGATTGATGGCCATGGCATTCATGTCTTTCGGTGGAATGTAGAGGCTCTGCAACGAGGCTAAACCATGACGGAGATATTTCTCGGTGTTGCAATGTTCACTTCGGTCGTTCTGGCCTTAGTGTTTCTCATTCTGGTGGCCAAGCGCGGGCTTGTCGCTTCCGGAAATATCACCATCGATATCAACGAGCAAAAGACCGTTGAGGTTCCCACCGGCGGGAAACTACTCGGCGCACTTTCGGAGCAAGGCATCTTCGTCTCATCCGCTTGCGGCGGTGGTGGCACCTGTGCCCAATGCATTGTGAAAGTTCTCGACGGCGGTGGAGACATACTGCCGACCGAGCGCTCGCACATCAATAAGCGCGAAGCTCGCGAAGGCTACCGGCTTTCGTGCCAGGTTGCGGTCAAACAAGACATGAAAGTCGAGGTGCCTGAAGAGGCGCTCGAGACCAAGAAGTGGCAGTGCAAGGTTCGCTCGAATCGCAACGTCGCCACCTTCATTAAAGAGTTTGTGTTGGAACTTCCCCCTGGGGAGCAGGTGAACTTCAAGCCTGGCGGTTACATCCAGATTGAAGTGCCACCGCACGAACTCGATTACAAAGATTTCGCGATTGAAGAAGAGTACCACGGCGACTGGGACACGTACGACGTCTGGCGTTACAAGTCGGTTGTGGAAGAGCCGGTGGTGCGAGCTTATTCGATGGCAAACTATCCGGGCGAACAGGGCATTATCATGCTCAACGTTCGTATTGCCTCGCCACCTCCACGAGCACCAGAGGACGTGCCACCGGGTAAGGTCTCGTCCTACATCTTCAACTGCAAGCCGGGCGACGAGGTCACCATCTCGGGTCCCTACGGCGAATTCTTCATAAAAGATACCGATGCCGAAATGGTCTACATCGGCGGTGGTGCGGGTATGGCTCCCCTGCGGAGCCACATCTTCGAGCTGTTCAAGAACCTGAAGACCGGACGGAAGGTGTCTTACTGGTATGGCGGCCGGAGCCTCCGCGAGTTGTTCTATGTCGAGGAGTTCCGCGAGATTGAGAAGGAATTCCCGAACTTCACGTTCAATATCGCACTGTCCGATCCAGCGGAGGAAGACAACTGGACCGGCTACACCGGCTTCATTCATCAGGTGTTGCTGGAAAACTACTTGAAGGACCATCCCGCGCCCGAAGATATTGAATACTACATCTGCGGTCCACCGATGATGAACGCGGCGGTATTCAAGATGCTGGATGATTTGGGAGTCGAGCCCGACAACATCGCGTACGACGATTTCGGCGGCTGATCAGCCCAGAACGACGAAGCAATTCGAACGGACGCGGTTGACCTCGCTATCTTCTGCGACTGCAGTTCGCCCACAACTGCACTTAGATCGCGTTCCAGGTATTCTAGTTTGTACCTGGCAGCCACGATCGCCGGAGAGTAATCGATGACGATTCAAATCGCTCGGCTTGCCATGTTTTTCGTCGTGCTTGCCGCAACCACGGCGATCTACGCTGAAGAGCAAGTCTCCCAGTTAAGCGGCCCTACCATGGGGACGTCGTACCACATCAAACTGCTAGGTGCGGACGATCCGTCGGCGATTCAAAAGCAAGTCGATAATCGACTCGCTGAAATCAACGCGCTCATGTCGACCTACATCGACGACTCGGAAGTTTCGCGATTCAATCGCGCAGCCGCCGATCAGTGGTTTTCCATCTCTGATGAAACACTGAAGGTTGTAGAACTCGCCCAGAGCATCTCGCAGCAAACCGGGGGAGCCTTCGACATCACCGTCGGCCCACTCGTCCGACTGTGGAACTTCGGCTCGCAGGCCAAACCCGGTGCGTTCACGCCGCCCGATGAAGATGAGATTCAGGCCGTCCTAAAATCCGTCGGCTACGAAAAGCTCGAGGTACAGCAAGAACCGCCAGCACTGCGCAAAACAGTCGCCGGACTGGAAATCGATCTATCAGCCATCGCCAAGGGGTACGCTGTCGATCAAGTCGCCGAGTTGCTTCTCGGCCGTGGCGTGAATGACTTCATGGTTGAAATCGGTGGCGAAGTTCGCGTCGCGGGCAACCGGCCCGACGGAAATCCTTGGCAAATTGGGATCGAATCGCCCAAGGTTGCCACGCGTCGGGTGGAGACGGTTTTAGGTCTGCATGATCAGGCCCTGGCCTCCTCCGGAGACTACCGAAATTATCACGAGCACGACGGCAAGCGATACTCGCACACCATCGACCCCAGAACCGGTAAACCGGTCGAACACCAACTGGCCTCGGCGAGTGTTGTGTCGCCAACCTGCGCAACTGCCGATGCCTTGGCCACGGCCCTGGTTGTGATGGGCCCCAGCGAGGGTTTCGCCTGGGCCGAACAGCATGAAGTCGCCTGCTTGCTCATCTCCAGAGCAGGAACAGGTTTTGATTACAAACAGACGAGCCATCTGGGTGCACCGCCCATCAACTTGGCCAGTACGGGGCAAGCCGAAGGGTTCGGTGGAATCTTTGTCGCGTCGACCATTCTCTTCCTAGTCGCGCTGAGCGCAATGTCGGTTGGCGTCTTGTTCGGCCGACGCCGAATCCAAGGAAGTTGCGGTGGATTAGCCGGGCTGAAGAACGAGCGCGGCGAGACTATGTGCCAAGCCTGCAGTAATCCCTCACCTACCTGCCGAAATGAAGCTGCCGACGCAAATCGTCAATCGATCGGCGCTTCTTCCGGTGAAACCAGCGAACTCAAGTAAAGCAGTCTCGCGTGGTGCGTGTTCCCTTCTTTGGCTTTCACCGAGTTGACGGCCTTCAAGATATCACGACGGCTAATCTGCCCGACCAACTTGCCATCCCGCACTACCGGCAACCGGCGGAATGGATTGCGAAGAAACAGTTGGGCGATCGTCAGAAGGTCGGTATCTTCTTCAACCGTTTTGCAGTCGGTCTCCAGAAACGCGTAGATCCGCATCGTTGGCAACTGCTCATAAGCCGCGTTCACCAGGGCCCGTAAGCAGTCCTTCTCAGAAAAGATACCGATCAACCGGTTGTCTTGATCGACGACCGGTGCGCCAGAGATTTCGTGCCGCAACAATAAATCAATCGCATCAAAAAGGTCCATCTGCTGGTCAAGCGTGACCAGATCACAGACCATCACATCACGAGCGACTTCGTGACCTTGCATCGCAAGCCTCCTTTAAGAAAAGGAAATACCGGAGGTGCGCGGCGGTTACGCCGAGAGCCAAAGGAAGATTAGTAGAATTAGCGGTCAAAGTCGAGCAATTTTTTTACCAGCGCCAGCCCGCCCCGCAGGAAAGTGCACTCGCTGAAGACTTTACGTCGAGGCACAGACCGCCTGAATCGCAGTTGAAAGTGGTACCACACGTCGGCGTATACGCAGGGTTGGCCGTTTGTGAAATTCGGAACAGGCCTTCCTGTTATGCTTAAGAAGATTGAGCTGTCTGTTTTAGGCAGCCTTACTTTCATTAAACCGACCTCCATCATGTTTCTCCAACTCCCCCGCTCGAACCCGGCCCGCGACTGCAGTCCCCCCGTCGTCAGACGTCATGCCCTTCCTGACCAGTCCTCACAAACGCCACTAGTTGTTGAGTTAAACTTCGTGTTCCTGAAGTGGCTGGATCGCTTCGGGGGCCGGCGGCTTGTAGTCTAGCGATCCATGGGGTCTCACGGTGTTGTAATACCGTCGCTTACGCTCGATGAGCACCTTGGCTTCCAGCAGTGTGTCGAACTGCTCACGAGCCAAGAGATCATCAGGTAGCCTGCCATTGAAGCTCTCACAGTAGCCGTTTTCCCAGGGGCTGCCCGGCTGGATTAACAACGTCCTCACTCTGACTTTGGCAAGTAACTCCCGCACCTTCCTTGCCGTGAACTCAGGACCATTGTCGCTACGTATGTAAGCCGTTACGCCACGACGGACGAACAGGTCGCTGAGCCGTTCCAGTAAGTCCTCACTTCTGTGCCTCTTCGCGGTGTCGATTGCCAGGCACTCCCGAGTATGCTCATCGATCAGCGTTAGCATTCGAAAAGCCCGCCCATCACTCATGCGATCGGCGACGAAGTCATGACTCCAGACATGATCTTTGTACGCTGGGCGATGCCGCACGCACGCACGAGCCATCAGCAAGCCACAGCCGCTCAATCCGCTTGTTATTGACTCGCTAGCCTTACTCACGCAGTAGGGCGGTGACTTTATATAACCGTTGCGGCCATAATCACTGGCCAACTCGACCATGCGACGAATCAGCCTCGGTTCGTCGCTAGATGCGATAGGCACACGACGTTGTGTACTTCGAGACTGGTCGAGCACCTTGCAAGCCCGGCGTTCCGAGACCGGTCGCGGCCAATAGCAGCTCGGACATGATTGACCGCTTGGCGTCGTTTCGTCGGGCTCAGAAGTTTCCCGACGCGGCTTTGAAAATTGCCTTATAAGTTCGGCGACAGCCAAGAGTCGCTTCAGGCGAGAGTTCTCTTTTTCTAAGGGTTTTCTTGGGGCTTTGGAGGTAGAACTGGGGTTGGCACGAGTCTGCGGTGCGTCTCTTTTGATCGAACAGTACGCACAATATCGGCAATCGGTATACCGTTAGGTCGACTATCGCGAGCTATTATGGCTTTTTGTGGATCGTTCAATAAGTGGATGTGGCAATTCAACTCATCAGGCAGAGTCGCCGATCTGCCGTTGCATTCATCTTTCACCTTGAGCAGTTTAGCCATGTCAGCGGTGTAGCAAAAAACGTCCTGAGTGAAATCTGCATCTCTAAAGAGGTAGCAAGAAATTGGCACTGGTCGGGACTCAGGCAAGAACTCGCGATAGTCAACCGTGCCCGTCTTCACGCTCATGCCTCCGGGCTCGAACTGCTCAGATATGAACGGATTGGAGTAGTCCAGCGGGGAGGTTGGAAAGTCCTCCGGTTTTTTCATGAAAATGTTGGCGAAGAGCATGGCTCGATAATGCTTATCCATGATAAGAGCCAGCTTGTTGAACTGGTCTAGCGCATGTTCGTCTTGTGTGAGAAGAATCGTTTCGGTACCGGTAAGAATGCCGTGAAACACCGCAAACACAACAATCGCTTCATCTGCTAATTTGGCATTTTTTTTCGATTCGTCCTTAGCCAAGAATAAGGCTCTCTCACCCAATTGTTTTTGCACTCTTGCATGCAGTTCAGCCTGCGTAGCTTCACGGCCTAATTCTTCGCGAAGTGTCGTCGCGAGTGCTTCAAGCGTCTGTCTCCGGAATCCAAGAAGTTGGGTGTAGTATTTTGCAGCTCGTGGATAGGCCGGTAATTTAAGATTGAAGAACGATGACTTCTTTCGTTGCAAGAAAGATTGGTACGACTTCCACACGTCGAGATTGTTGGTTGGCTTGGTAGCCCACGATTCCAATTCTTCTAGAACTGGAGGAACAATGGCAAGTCTCGACGACGTCAATAAGCTACTCCAGAGCCCATTGGCTTGTTGGCCAATGAATAGATTGGTGTCGAGCACAAAGGTCGTGCGTGGATGTTCGCGAATCACTAGATCAAAAGCTTTTTCTGCCATCGTCCCGCCATGATGTACCCCAGTTAGCTCGCGAATCTGCTTCTGACTGCGAGTCAGAGGGATCGATGGCTCTTCGTACGCCACCTCGGTTTCGATGGACTTTGGATTGAGTAGATTACGCGTCAAACGAGATTGTTTTCTCTTTGCCATGACATCTTCCGACTAGTGATCTATGTCCCTAGGAGAATGACACCAATGGATCCAAAAAGTTCGAGAGATGGGAATCATGAATGGCTAAAGCTTGGCAATTTTGGAACAAAACGAGGGAAACGCCAAACGCCCCCTAGCGTTAGCCATTCTCCAACCAATGCATCGTGCCATACGATGCTCCAAGGATCTACGCTTCCAGAATGAAAGCAAGCAGGCGGAGTTCCAAACCCAAGCACACCAAGGATGGGTTTGGGGACACTTTCCGGGGACATTAATCAGAGGTGTCGCCAGAAACTAATCAGGTGCCGCCAAATAAGATTACTTTGGCGAACCAACTTACAGCAGCGGAGGGCACGGGACTCGAACCCGCAACCGGTAAACCGGCACCTGAATTCCAATCAGGCCGCTAGCCAATTCGCTTACCCTCCGGGGAAGAGTCACTTCAGGACTTTTACCAATTGGCCCTGGCGACTCTGTAGGTATCATCGGCAGATTCGACTCGACACGGTAGCATAGGACTGGCAGTTCTGCCAAGCCGTTCGCAAAGATCTTCCACTCGAATGCGTTCGCGAGTGTGTCGCGGCTACCTGCTTGCGATTCCAACCGCGTGACTCACAATCATGCAGTCTTTATCGCCCCAGAGAATTAGTCGTCCAGGGCGGCCGTGAGTTTTCCGCAGGTGTCACGTAGCAGCTTGGGCTCCGCTGATGAGCTTGATGAACTCGTCGTTGCTCTTGAACTTGCTGAGCTTCGAGGTGAGTTGCTCCATGGCGTCGACGTGGTGCATCGAACTCAGCGTCCGTCGCAGCATCGTCACCGCGTGCAAGGTCTCAGGCGGAAGCAGCTTTTCTTCCTTACGAGTACCCGACTGCGAGATGTCGATGGCCGGCCACACACGGCGATCGGCCAGCTTGCGATCGAGCACGAGTTCCATATTGCCGGTACCTTTGAACTCTTGGAAGATGAGTTCGTCCATGCGGCTGCCGGTGTCGACCAGGGCCGTGGCGACGATCGTCAATGAGCCACCTTCTTCAAACACGCGGGCCGTGGCGAACAGCTTCTTGGGGATGTCCAACGCCTTGATGTCGACACCACCGCTCATTGTTCGACCGGTATTGCCAACCCATTTGTTGAAGGCCCGGGCCATACGTGTGATGGAGTCCATCAGCAGGAATACGTCTTTACCCATTTCGGCCAGACGTTTGCAGCGTTCGACGATGAGCTGCGACATGCGAACGTGACTCTCCACATCGCGATCGAGGCTGCTCGCCACCACTTCGCCATTCACACTTCGCTCCATCTCGGTCACTTCTTCCGGGCGTTCATCAATCAGAAGAACAACCAGCGTGAGTTCCGGGTGGTTGTCGGAGATGGCCTTGCTGATGTGTTGGAGCATGACCGTCTTACCGCTGCGCGGCGGTGCGACGATTAGCGCTCGCTGGCCTTTGCCCAATGGAGTGAGTAAATCCATCACCCTCGTGGTGAGCGGTTCGGGGCCCGTCTCAAGCTTGAGCCACGATTCGGGGTTGATGGGGGTCAGCTCATCGAAAGACTTCACGTTGACATAATCGTCCGGCGGCATGCCGTCGATATCGTGAATTTCTCGGAGCCGCGGGCCCTGCTGCTTGCGATTGGGCTGCGACATGCCGTTGATGAGAATGCCTTCGCGAAGGCCGTACTTCTCGATCATCGAGCCCGGCACGAAGGGATCGGTACGCTCCCGCTGATAGCTCTTCTTCGGGTCGCGAAGGAAGCCGTAGCCGTTGGGGTGAAGTTCGAGAACGCCACTGGCAGGCTGCAAAGGAAGCGGTTCGCCGTTTTCGTTTACTTCGGGTTCGTTTCCTTGCGAGCGTCCGCCGGAAGATCTTCGGTAGTTGGTTCGACGACCACGGTATCGGCCACCGCCGCCTCCACCTTGGTTACCGCCCCCGCCACCGCCTTGTCGACCTCCACCGCCGGAGTATCCTTTGCCTCTCGGACGACTCTTCTTCTTCGCCATACTGCACCTAGAAAGAGATGGAACCTTGTGCCGTCAAGAAACGACCTTACGCGGGCCGACTGACGCAAAAGGTGGCGCCCAAACATTGGGCCACGATAAAAAATGCCTAAGCTGAGCGTGCCATCAATTGGCACCTGGCCATGTCAGAGGTCAATTCCTGCCTACACACGACAAGAATTGCAACTGTAAACACTTAAATGGTCGCAGGATTGGGTCGAAGCAAACCGACCGCGCAACTCCGAGCAGAAACTTGACGTTCAGATGTTGCGCAAATCTTTGCTCGATTCCCTACCGAGCGAAGCTGGAAACAAATGTCGGCCATCCTGGTCGCCAAAAAATGCAACTCAGAGCGACAAGGGAGTGCCCCCCTTTGGAAAGATTCCTACGCTTGGGGGGCGGCCCAGCGATTCTCGCCTGGGGCCGACAGTGCCTTGCAACAAGGCAGCCTTAAAACTACGGCAATCATAATCATCTTTCGGGTCGTGTCAAGCTATCAATCAACTGAAACCGTGGTGAAGCAAGACTTTTCTATTTTAGCCAGGCGAATCTAACGAACACAACGAAATGGGCGACATCCACCTCAGCACCCTCCGGATCGAGGGGTGGTAAGTCCTTTCTGCCAGAATGGATGCGAATATTTCACAGGCTCCAAAGTATCCGTGCCACTGAAATCTTGGGCCGTGCGAGACTCCGCTGATCCGAGCCCAGATTTTAGCGTTACTCACGCAGCTCGCGATTGTGCAATCGCTCCCCCTGTTTATCCAGGCTCACAGCCTTCTCAGAAGTACTAGAGGCTGAATCGCGACTGGGGCTCCTTCAAGGCTCTTCGGCCGCAAAATCGATCCAATCGTCAGATTTTAACTCGGTCTCGGGTTCACGTCGTCCGATAAGAGAAGTGCCGTGAGTCGCAGCAAGGGGTTTGATAGGCACGAGACTGGAAGAGGCGTTCCCTCATGTCGATTTATCGACGATGTCGCGTAGCACTGCTGATAAGTGCGTTACTAACCACTTCGGCCATGGGCGTTTATGCTCAAGAGACGCTTCCGTGGCGGTCAGACCTTCAGCAGGCCAAGAACGAGGCCGCACAGACCAACCGCCTGGTGTTAGTCCACTTTTGGGCTCCCTGGTGTGGGCCGTGCAAGCGGCTCGACCACGAGGTTTTCGCCCGTCCTGCCGTGGCTCAGTCGGTGTCTGCCAACTACGTTCCAGTGAAGTTGAACGTGGATGAGAACCGCGCGCTAGTCGAAAGCTACGGCGTACGTGGGATACCGGCCGACGTAATCGTGACCCCCGATGGACGCGTCGTGAAGATGATTCAGAGCCCGCCGACAGCCGATCAGTACACCGGTGTATTGGAACAAATCGCAGCATCGGTTCGGCCACCATCTGCAAATCCTGCAAATCAAATGTTGGCCCAGAGCGCGCCTGTCTCGCCTTACACGGCCAGCCAACCTTCTGCAGCCGCTCAACCGGCCACAGCGCAGCCGCGAGTTGGGGCTCCTGGAAACACGTTGCCCCCCTCGGCGACGACCCCGCCCCCGTTGAATTCTGCACCGGGGATGGCTGCCACTGCCCAGGGACCTGTTCCACCACAAGTATCTATGGCGGGGCCAAGTGTGCCTCAGCCGCATGCTGCTTATCCGCAGGCCCCACCTGCGCCGAGTGCCCAGCCCCAGATGCAGCAGCCGGTGGCTCAGCAGCCACCTCAACAGCCAACGATGCAACAACCTGCTATGCAGCCCCCGGCCATGCAGCAACCGGGCATGCCACCAGCGATGGCTCAGGGCGCGCCTCCGGCAGCAACCACGCCGGGAGTCGGTCCTGGGGCACCACCGAAGATTGCGCTAGACGGTTGCTGTCCCGTTTCGATTGTTGACCAGGTAGGAGTAAGCGGGGCCCAGTGGGTGTTGGGGCAACCTCAGTTTGCCGCAACTTACCAAGGGCAGATCTTCTACTTGGCAAGTGAAGAGGCCAGGCAGCGCTTCTTGACTGACCCTGCCCGCTATGCCCCGGTCACTTTCGGTAACGACCCGGTGCTGGCCATCGACCAAGGGCAGATGGTTCCAGGCAATCGGACGCATGCCCTGTACTTCGGCAACCGGATGTATCTGTTTGCCAATGAGTCGACGTTGACCGCTTTCGTCAACGATCGATTTCGATACTCCACTGCGGTGGTGCGGCAAACCCAAGTACCTCAGGGGCCGCCGCCGAACGGGAGATACTAATTCTCTCTTAGTGAGGCTCCCAATCGAGCGAGCGTTCGACGGCTCGTTGCCATCGCGAGCGAAGTGCGTTGCGTCGGGCATCATCAATCGCCGGCTCGAACTCTTTCTGAAGTGCCCAATTTCCGGTGACATCGGATTGATCGGACCAGAAGCCGACGGCCAGTCCTGCTAGATAAGCAGCACCCAGGGCTGTGGTTTCTGCCACCTCGGGGCGTTGCACATTCACTCCGAGCAGATCGGCCTGGAACTGCATCAGTGCATCGTTCACCGATGCTCCCCCGTCAACCTTCAGCGCCGAAAGCTGCAGGCCTGCATCCTTCTGCATCGCTTCAAGCAAGTCGGCCGACTGGTAGGCCATCGATTCGACGGCAGCTCGCGCGATATGTGCGGCGGTGGTTCCTCGAGTGATGCCGTGAATCGAACCGCGGGCATAGGCATCCCAGTGCGGGGCTCCGAGTCCCACAAACGCTGGCACCAGGTATACGCCTCCGGTGTCGGATACCGATCCGGCGAGCTTCTCGACGTCAGAAGAGTTCTTGATGATGCCGAGTCCATCACGGAGCCATTGCACAACAGCGCCAGCAATGAACACTGAGCCTTCCAGGCAATACGTCACCTTGCCATCGATTCCCCATCCAATCGTGGTCAGCAATTTGTTGTCAGAATCCTGCGGCTTGTAGCCGGTGTTCAACAGCATAAAACAGCCGGTTCCATAGGTGTTCTTCGCCATGCCGGGTTCGAAACAAGCCTGGCCGAACGTGGCTGCCTGTTGGTCCCCGGCATCACCCGCAATAGGAATCGGGCGTCCGAACCATTCTTCGTCGGTTTCGCCGTACACTTCGCTCGATGGTCGCACCTCGGGAAGAATCGCCTTCGGAATATCGAGAGCTTTAAGCAGTTCGTCGTCCCAGGCCAGGTCGTGGATGTTGTAGATCATCGTGCGACTGGCGTTGCTGTAGTCCGTCACATGACAGCGCCCGCCAGTTAGCTTCCAGATGAGGTAGGTATCCACGGTGCCAAAGAGGATCTCGCCGCGCTCGCACCGCTCTCGAAGGCCGTCGATCGTGTCGAGCATGTGTTTGATCTTGGTGCCCGAGAAATAGGCATCGAGCACGAGCCCAGTTTTTTGGCGAATCGTTTCGGCCATTCCATCGGCACGAAGACGATCGCAGATGGGGGCACTGATGCGGCTTTGCCACACAATGGCGTTGGCCACGGGCTTGCCGGTGGCTTTTTCCCACAGGATGGTCGTCTCCCGTTGATTCGTGATCCCGATCGCGGCGACGTCGGCAGCATCGATTTTGCCTTTCGCGAGCGTTTGTTGAGCCACCGTGAGTTGGCTCGACCAAATCTCTTCTGGATTGTGCTCGACATGCCCCGGCGATGGCAGGATCTGCTCGAACTCTTGCTGAGCCGTGGAGACTTCGGTGCCATTATGTTGGAACGCGATGGCGCGGCTGGAGGTTGTTCCTTGATCTAGCGCGAGTACGTACTTTGCCATTTCGATCTTCCACCAGAGCTTGAAAAAGTGAGAGCCTACGTATGTAGTTCAACAATGCGTCGTTAGCGAATTCAATCGACGGGTGCATCTTCTTCCGGCGGATGGAATCTAGTGATCAGCAGGTCGTAAACGAATCCGCCAATCACTCCGCCGATCAGTGGCCCGACAATCGGAATCCACCACCAGTAATTGTTTGCCGTGAAGACCTGCGATCCCCAGCCAGCGACAGCCGTAAATAAGCGAGGACCAAAGTCTCTCGCGGGATTGATGGCGTACCCGCAGTTGTGCCCGAAGGTCGTTCCGATGAGTAACACCAAAGCTCCAATCACCACCGGAGCCATGTTGGCTTGCACGGCCGTGTTTCGCTGGTCTACGATCGCCAGAATGCAGCCCACCAGCATGGCGGTTCCCACTATCTGATCGACCAAGCCGCCGGGGATGTTGCTGAGATAAGGCTGAGGATAGGTGGCCCAGATGCCTGCCGTTTCTAGTCCTCGTACCCCACCATCCAAGTTGTTTAGTGCTTCGTGATAGACCGCATAGACAACTGCCGAGGCCGCGAATGCCCCGGCGACTTGAGCTGCGAAGTACGGAAGAACCTTCGCCCAGGGAAATCCGCGGTGAACGGCCATGGCCAGGGTAACCGCGGGATTGATGTGAGCCCCGGTGATTCCCCCCGCCACATAGACGCCCATCGTCACGCCAAGCCCCCAGCCGATGTTGATCGAGAGGTACTCGCCACTGTTGCCATCTCCAAACATCACCTGAGCCACCACGGCCACGCCGAATACGATCAAGACAAACGTGCCTAGAAACTCGGCAGCTACTTCTCGGGTGAGTGAGTTTGACATCGACGCTGAAACCTCCGGTAGTTGTGATAAGCAGCAAACAACAAATGTGTTGCGGGCGGTCGAATTGTGCCGCTTCTTAACACAAAGATCAAACGAAAAAAACAACCCTCAACCGAAACGCCACTTTGAACCTTCGGTGCTCCCATTTCCCCAGCAATCAGGTCCATAGCGTGAACTATTCGATCGCGGTGGCTGTAAGCCGCTTGCCGAAATGGTCGCGGAGGCGGTCGATGGTCGCTTGAACCTGCGAATCGGCCTCCTCTTGCGAAATCCCTCGTTCTTCGATGAGCAGATCGCCCAGTCGCCGCAGCGTTGCTTCGCTTAGCGAGGGTTGGTAAAGCAGCATGAGCCGCCTTTCCACGAGGTCATCGACTCGCCGAACCCATTCGTGGCGAATTGACCAGCGGACGAAATCTAAGGGGAGATCGGTCCCCACCAGCAACTCTGAGGATAGCTGTCCATCCTGAGCAAGGAACTTTCGCACACGGGTGCCGCAGAGCAGCCACATCGACTCAATCTGTTGAGGGTCGAAGCAAGACTCGGCGGCCAGCTTTTCCCAAGTGGCTTCAAGCTCCGCTTTGTTCGACGGATAATCTTCACCGCCAGGAATGGGACGATCGATCGACTTCGCTTCATACGGTGAATCGGGCCGTAGAACCTTCGCAAGTTCGTGGGCCGATTCCTCGGCAAGCGAACGGCAAGTGGTCAACTTCCCGCCGATCACCGAGTAGGTAGGCACTTCAGCATGGTCGGCCCGTTCGAGCCAATGCCGGCGCGTGATCGACGCAGTGGTGGTCGCGTCGGTGTAGGGAAGCGGTCGCACGCCCGCATAGTGGAAGTCGATATCGTCCCGCGTCAACGGAGTGCCGGGCACGATGTGATTTACGGTATCCACCAGGTAGTCGAGTTCTTCGTCGGTGGGAATCGCCTTACCGGGGTTGCCGGTGTAGCGAACATCGGTGGTGCCTACTAAGGTGTAGTCTTTCCCCAGGGGCAACACGAACACCGGGCGATCGTCGGCCGCTTCGGCGTAGATCCCCTGCCCTTTCAATGCATCACGAAGACCCTGATGCGAAGTGACAAAGTGGCTGCCTTTGGTTCCACCCATCAGGCGGCGCGAAGGTATTTTCAATCGCTTCAGCGTTAAGTCGACCCAGGCGCCCGTGGCATTGACGATCGCCACCGGTTCGAATTCTCGCACCACCGGACCCGTTGAGGCTTCTTCTTCGCCTGGGGTTTTGTTGTCTCGGGCACGAATCGTAACTTGGCGGCCGTCGAGCCGGGCCTCGTGATAGTTGAACATCTCGAAGGAGATTCCCCGCCGCTGGGCCTCTTCCGCGGCATCGGTCAACAAGGCGGCTACGAATCGCTCTGGGAAAACAATCTGGGCGTCGGAATAAGAGCAAAGCCAGCGATACTGCTCGGGATCGACCTTCGCCACCCCCGGATCGTTGAGGCGATGGATGTCGTGTTTGGGGAGCACTTCATCCTGGGCATAAGCATCGTAGAAATGCAGCCCCATCCGAATCAGCCAAAGTCCCCGATCGATATCCCGTTTGCTTGGCTTCTTGCGTTGGAAATGGAAAAACTTCCGCAGAGAAGTGGCCAGTCCACCAAAGCGATTCGAGGTCGGAACATAAAGCCGCAACGGCCGCACGAACTGGGGGGCCAGTTTCAGCAGAAGATTTCGCTCGCGTAGCGACTCGCGGACGAGGTCGAATTCGGAGTATTCGAGATAACGCAGTCCCCCGTGAATCAGACGGGAGGACCAAGCGGTTGTGCCGCCAGCCAGGTCGCCTTGATCAACTACACAGACGGGGAAGTCGTTGAGAATCAACTCCCGTGCAAGCGCAGCGCCATTAATGCCAGCGCCGAGGATCAAGATGGGGCGGTCGTCGGTTTTCACAGCGACCATAATATAATCGCCAGAGACGAAAACACCATGTCGTGGTACCCGATGCCGTCTTCTGGCAATTCGGGCAGCTTACCGATCTTCCAACGCTCGTTGCAGATAGCGAACGCAGGCCCGCACACCCTCGAGATTGCGATTCAACTGCAGGGCTCTCTGGAAACACTCTAGAGCCATGCGGTCTTCGCCTTTCTCGATGTGACACTGCCCCATCCCCACGGCCGCGGCAAAATGGTAGGGATTCAGTTCGAGAGCTTGCCGACAATCACCGATGGCGGCAGTGTAGCGTTTGAGGTTGAACTGAGAGATCGCTCTTTGGTTCCAGGCCTCGGCTAGTTGCGGGGCCGAGTTCACCAGTCGATCGGCTCGTTCGAAAGCCTCCGTAGCGGCTTTGCTGGTATTTAGCCGGATGATTACGGCCAGTTCTCGCTGCTGACGGGGGTTTCCGTCCCGTCGCCACAGCCAGCGAATGCCGTTTTCAGCTAAAATTCGCACTGCCCGATCTTCGTCGGACATCGCTCGCCCAATGGTGGCGTTACATTCATATCCACCGATGAGACACAGAGCCACAACGGCGGCCCTCCGCACTTCGCGGCGCTGGTGGGTAGCTAGCCGCTCGAGAGTTCCCGTGCTGTAGGCTTCCGCTGTGCGCAGAATGAGACCGGCCGAGTCTCGATCTTCGAGATACCGGTTATAAAGCGCTAGCAACAACGGCTCTGAAGCCTTTTCGCCCACGAGCGTATTCTCCGAGGAAGCGTGCGAAGGGAAACTGAACGACCACAGGCAATCCCGCAAGCAGACTTGCAGCGGGACGGCACCTGGGCATAGCCTTGAGTGTAACCAATCCGGTCTCTGAAAAGTCCGCCGCGGTGGAAGTTCCCGGCGGCTTTCGCGCAACTGGCGTATCGAACATGACGTCTAATCCGAACGTACGGGTTATTGCCCCGCAATCGAGAGTTCGACTCACCCTGAGCGTTAACGGTGGTCAAAGCGCTGCGCGGAAAGTCATGCTTACGCAGAAGTCCCTCGCCCGTCTTGGGCTTGTGTTTATGTTCTGTGTGGCCAGCTTGCAGTCGCTGAACGCGGAAGAGATCGAGTGGCGTACGGCCAAGCAACTCTCCGATCAGTTGGCCAGCCCGGTGTCGATTTCCTGGTCTGCCGCCAACTTTCGGCCGGCACTCGAGCGATTGAGTCGCGCCCAACGGGTTGCCATCTTAGTCGATCGCAGAATCGACCCGGGAACCCGCTGTGAGTTCCGTGGCGAGAACGAAGCCTTATCAGAGGTGTACCGGCACTTGGCCGAACAGGCTAACGCTGGCTACTCCCAACTCGGCCCTGTGGCCTACTTCGGTCCGGAGTCTACTGCCCGAAAGCTTCGCACGTTGGCAGCCCAACTCGACGAGCAAGTCGAGCAGTTGCCTCCAACTGCCAAACGTATTTGGCACAGAAGTCGAGCCTGGCATTGGAATGACTTTGCGACGCCCCGCCAGTTGCTCGAGGGGTTGGCCACGGAACATCGGATCAAGCTCGTGGGCCTTGAACAGATTCCTCACGACTTGTGGGCCGAGGCCGACGTGCCGCCGATGCCGTTAGCCGAGCGGATGTTGCTGATTGCTGCGCAGTACGATTTCACCCTTGCCATAGAACCCGACGGACGTTCAGCCAGCTTGGTTCCAATCCCGTCAGAGGTTGCTGTGCAGCGTCGTTATTCAGGTCGAGGCAAAGCGAGCCAACTTGCCAGACAGTACCGCAGTCTGGTGCCGAATGCCGAGGTGGTCGTCGACGGTCGCGATGTCGTAGTGAGCGGATTGATTGAAGAACATGAGCTCATCGCGAATGGGCAGTCCTCAACAGAGACGCAACCGACCTCGGGGACACAGGTTTTTCGGCTTAAGGTCGAGAACATTCCCGTTGCCCGGCTTTTGGACCATGTTTCGAAGCAGATGGGCTACGCAGTAGAAACCGACGAGAAAGCGATCTCGTCTGCAGGCTTGTCGCTTGATGAGCGGGTGTCGGTTGACGTGAAAGACGCGACGATTCAAGAGCTATTGGAAGCCATTCTCAAACCTGCGGGCCTAGCTCATCGTCGCGAAGGGAAGCGGATTGAGGTGTTCCCCAATTCACCCTAGACGGGCGATGTGGCTAAAGACCCTTCTTGCCAACAAAAAAAGCCGCTGTCAGACGTGCTTGTCGACAGCGGCTTTCTAGGTTTTCTGTTGCGATGCGTGGGCTGTGTAACTTAGCAGCCGTGCTTTTCGAGCTTCTCACGCAGCGTGTCGGCATTGAATGGCTTGACGAGGTAGTCCGACACCCCGGCTTGGATGGCCTGCACGACGCGTTCTTTTTCCGCTTCGGTCGTGACCATGATGATCGGAATGTTCGCGTCTTGCTTGCGAATTTCTTGGACGACTTCGAGTCCGGTCTTGCCCGGCATGTTCCAGTCGGTAAGCACCATGTCGAAGCTGCCAGGCTTGAACATGTTGACTGCTTCCGAACCATCTGCGGCTTCGGTTGTGTCTTCCACGCCGACGGCCAAGAGCGATCGAACGATGATCTTCCGCATCGTACTCGAATCGTCTGCCACTAAGACTCGTTTGCTCATTGGATTCTTCCCGTGTGTTTTGCCTGTTGATTGGTTGAACGCCGAACTACTGCTGTCGAATTCGCTAAGCAGCTTGGCGAGACGTGATCAACTGTCAGGCAAACATAGGTCAGAGATATGTTCCGTCAAAAGTCTGCCTCCGCACTTTGAGTTCTCTTGCCAAGTGATCGTTCGCGTGGCGAAGTGTTGTCAATTTGCTCATGTGTTGTGGTTCGGCATCATCCCCGCACCGTTTGTCTGCGTGAATCCGATTGCACGGAATCGCTCGGGCGGTCCCCCGCCGGTTTTTTAAAAAACAGGGGCTTTGGCTAATTCTTGACGGTACTACTTCCGAAGACAGCAGTGCTACCTGGGTTGGCAGGGGAAGAGAGGGCGCTCTTCTTAGGCTGACTGGAAGAACTTTCACGGAGGTTGAAGCACCGAACGCGTCGTTGGTGACTGAGGTTCGGGCTAAACCGATTGTGAGGCATGTTCAGGATGAGGTGGCGCACAAGGCAAACTCCCACATTACATACACGTGCAATTGAATCGGGAAGTATCCCACAACGTTAGCAACAAGGAGTCAGGTGGTGAGCACCCTGCAGCAAGAGCCACAGACCGAAGTAAGCGAATCGAAGGAAGGCACCGGCTCATTGCAGTTGGTCAGCTTTCGCTTAGGCCAAGAGGAATACGGCGTAGAGATCACGAAGGTCCAAGAAATCATTCTCATGGGAGAGATTACGCGGGTTCCGCAGACGCCAGAGTATTTGAAAGGCCTTATCAACTTGCGGAGCACGGTGATTCCGATCGTGGATCTGCGTATCCGCTTCGGATTGCCCATTAGCGAGCAATCGGACGAGGCTCGCATCATGGTCGTCAACGTGGCCGGAAAAACCATCGGCATCATCGTTGATGCTGTGAGCGAAGTGCTACGTATTTCTCAGGAGGACACCGCTCCGCCACCACCAACGGTGGCCGGACTCGGCCGAGAATACCTCACCGGACTGGTGAAGTTGGAAAACCGTCTGCTGATTCTGCTCGACATCGACCAGATCCTGACAGACGAGGAAGCCGCGGCCATTGATGGGGCCGTTAGTTAACGACGTTGTGAACCAAGACTTGTGAGTTTCCTTTTCTGATAGAACCGGAACCCCCGTCGCTGCGGGGGCGGGGTCAGCAATACGAGAAAGAAGGTCAACAAATGCCCAAGACAATGAATCAAACTTCGGAAACTTCAGAAACCAAGATGGATGTGTCTGAGCTGCGAGCACAGCTAGCCACAGCGAAGGCCGTCAGCGAGAACTCGCCAATTAACATTATTCTCGCCGACACCGATCTGAACATCACCTACGCCAACCCTGCCAGCGTCGCCCAGTTGCGACCGCTGGAGCACCTGCTTCCTTGCCGTGTTGACGAAGTTGTCGGTCAGAACGTCGACATCTTTCACAAAGACCCGTCTTATCAACGTCGGATCTTGTCGAACCCGAAGAACTTCCCCCATCGGGCAATCATTGAACTGGGCGACGAGAAGCTCGATCTTCTGGTCAGTGCCATCTACGACGACAACGGAGAATACCTGGGGCCGATGGTCACTTGGGACGTTGTGACGAAGAAGATCGAATTGGAATCGCAGAGCCGTCATTACACCAATCAGATCCAAGCCATCAGCGCAGCTCAAGCGGTGATCGAGTTTGAGCCTGATGGAACCATCATCACGGCCAACGATAACTTCCTGAATGCCGTTGGTTACTCGTTGGAAGAGATCCAAGGCAAGCACCACCGTATGTTCTGCGACCCAGCTTATACCGAGTCTGCTGAATACCGTCAGTTCTGGATGGATCTTGGCAACGGCAAGTCGCACGCCGGCGAGTTCCAACGCTTCGGTAAGGGTGGCAAGGAAATCTGGATCCAAGCCAGATACTCCGCATTGCTAGACGAGAATGGCAAGACTTATGGTGTGGTCAAGTACGCCAGTGACATCACCGAGACGGTCCGCCAACGTCAACAAGCAATTGAGAATCAGGAACGCGAACGCCAGCAGCAAGAAGAGCTTCGCGCGAATGTCGACCAATTGCTGGAAGTGGTCAATGCCGCTGCTGAGGGTGATTTAACCAAAGAGATCACCGTCAACACTGATGACGCCGTGGGTGAATTGGCCAGCGGTTTGCGTCGTATGCTCGGCGACTTGCGTGGCATGATCGGACAAATTATCGAGAGTGCCATGCAGTTCACTGAAGGTTCGCGAGTGATCGCAGAAAGCTCGCAAACCCTCGCCCAGGGAGCTCAAAACCAGAGCTCGGCGGTCGAAGAAATGAGTGCTTCGATCGAGCAGCTGAGCCGCTCGATTGACGGCGTTCGCGACAATGCAGGCGAAGCGGACTCCATGGCTCGCGGAACCAACGAACTTGCCAACGAGGGTGGCAAGGCCGTGCAGAAGTCGATCGAGGCCATGGACCTCATCAAGTCCAGCTCGGAACAAATCAGCGAGATCATTCAAGTGATCTCCGAGATTGCCGGCCAGACCAACTTGCTCGCCTTGAACGCAGCCATCGAAGCGGCTCGTGCCGGAGAGCACGGTCTCGGCTTTGCTGTGGTGGCCGACGAAGTTCGCAAGTTGGCCGAACGCTCCAGCGGTGCAGCCAAGGAAATTTCTTCGCTCATCAAGGAATCGACTCGACGCGTGGAAGAAGGAGCCACGCTCAGCGAAGAGACTGGTGCGGCCTTGAGCAAGATAGTTCAAGGTGTGGAAGACACCGCCAAGAAGATCTCGGAAATCGCTTCTTCGACGACCGAGCAAGCTCAGAACGCTTCGGAAGTCGCCGCCGCCATTCAGAACGTGGCCCAAGTGACCGAACAGGTCGCGGCCGGCAGCGAGGAAATGGCTTCCAGCAGCGAAGAACTGGGTGCTCAATCCACCGGGCTGCGTGACATGGTCAGCAGCTTCAAGACTGAGTAACTCCAGCAAGCGAATCACGAGCCCCGGCAGGTATTGTCCATCCGGGCAACCTGCCGGGCTCGTCTTTTCGCTCAACTTGAATCACACAACTTGTCGCAATCGAACTATCAGCGCTTGTTCTAGCCTCGGAATGTTCCCAGATGCAAAACATCACACAAGACAACCTCGTCTCCGATGTTCTGATGAAGCAATACTCAGACTTGGTTTATTCACGAACCGGGATTCGGCTCTCTGAGCAGAAAAAGATATTGCTTTCGAACCGGGTGCGACGTCGTCTACGAGCCACCGGGATCGCTAGCTTCGAGGCTTATTTCGCACATTTGAAAAAACTCTCGCCCTCGGAAGAAGAATGGGATCGATTCCTGCAAGAGATCACCACACACGAGACCTACCTGTTCCGCGACGAAATGCACTGGAAATGGTTTCGTCAAACCTTTCTGCCCGAACGAGCAGCAGCTGCCCGCAAGGATCCTAAGGCCAAGAATCTTCGCATCTGGTCGGCTGCGGCGAGCACCGGCGACGAAGCATTCACCGTGGCCACTTGCATTGCGGCCACCATCCCGAACGTGAGCCAATGGAAAATTGAAATCGTCGGTACCGACATTGGAATCGGCGCTCTCGAAGAAGCCCGAGAAGGGACCTTCAATGAGAATGCCATGCGGCTAGTTCCTGACGATTTACGGAGTCGCTACTTCACCAAAGCCCCGGGCGTGCACGTGTGGAAAGCCAAACCCGCGCTCGGGGGAATGATTACTTTCCGTCAGCACAACCTCATGGACTCGCTGAACGAGCGGCCGTTCGATTTGGTGCTGGTCAAGAACGTGCTGATCTATTTCGACTCCAAGTCAAAGCAACAGGTGCTCTCGCGCGTTCTGCCGCTGGTCAAGCCGGGTGCCTATTTCGTCGCCGGGGCTGCTGAAGGGGTCTCTGACTACATGCAAGACCTCGAGCGGATTCAACCCTGGCTCTATCAGAAACCTATGAAGGGTTAAGGCTGGCGCCATGAGCGACGGAAGTGCATCAACACAAGACGACTTCTTCCAGAGTCTGCTCGGAGATTTTCTGGACGAATCCGATCAGTTGCTGGGTTCATTGGGCGAGCACTTACTGAAGCTCGACGAATGGACTCAGTCGTTGGAGCCCGACCAGCCAGCACGATGCGATGACGACTTGATGAATGAAATGTTCCGCGCGGCCCATAGCCTGAAAGGGCTTTCGGCCATGTTGGGGCTCAGCCAAATCAATTCGCTCACACATCGCGTGGAAAACGTCTTCGATGCCGCCCGGAACGATCAGCTTACATTCTCCTCCGAGTCTGTAGAGTTGCTGTTTCAGTCTGTGGATTGCCTGGTGGCGCTGGTTGACCAACTCAAAGACGGAACGCAGGGCGAAGTCGACTGCGACGCGGTAATCGCCGGCATCGAACAAATACTAGAGACTGCCGGTGCTCAGCGTGTCGTCACCTCTCAAGCCGACGCAGAAGCGTTCTTGTCAGAGCCGGAACCTTCCATCCAAGAATCAATCCAGATTGAGAGCACTGATATGCCGAAAACCGAAGTTTTAACGGCGACGGATGACAGCGAAGGTGTGCGATCTCCGGCCGAGTCTTGCGACTACTTTGAGGATATCCAAGACGAAGACGATGTTCCGGCGAAGTATCTTTCGATCTTCATTGATGAGACGGAGATCTCGCTGGACAGTCTTACTGAAACGCTTCTGGCGGGCGAGACGACCAAAGATGCTCAAGCAACGGAGACCTTGCTTGTCATCTCGCATCGTATCAAGGGCTCGGCAGCGGCCGTGGGTCTGAACCGTCCTGCCAAGTTAGCCCACTTCATGGAAGATCTGCTGCAGAACCTGCGCGAACAGAGTGATCCGCTTACGCCCGAGATGGCCGATGCCATGCTCAAGTGCACCGACGCCCTCAGGGCCTATGTCGTCGGTCTGAAGAACGGGCAGCCAGAATCGGAACAATTCAACCAATTGGCCTTAGAGTTGATCGCTGCCAGCGAGGGCACGCCGGTCGATATCGCCCCGGCTGCCGAAGTTCAGGCTTCTGAGCCGGAAACAACCACCGAGATCGCACCGGAGGCTCTCCAATCGCTAGTGGCAGAAATCGCACTAGAAGCTCCGGCAGCCTCACAAGGTTTTATCGGCCGTATCTGGTTCGAATCTGACTTTCCGTTAGTGGGGCTGAAGGCGCAACTTCTTATCGAGAAACTCTCTCAGTGGGGCAAGGTGTTTCACAGTAGTCCCACGCGAGATGAGTTGGAGACCATCGACGACTTGGACTCGCTCACCTTCGGTTTGGTTACCGACGCGGAAGAAACGCAAGTTAGAACCTCGCTTCAAATCGTCAGTGTCGAGCGTGTCGAACTCCTGCCTTTGCCTGCGGAAGAGCGACTTCTCGAAGCGACCCCTGTTGCTGAGTCGGTTCCCGGACCAACCCCTTCACCGGCCTCAGTCGAACCGGCTGCAGCGAGTAGTCCTCCAAAAGCAGCTACACCCACTAGTGCCCCAGCCGGTCCGCCCAAGCCCCAGCCGGCAGCGCGCACGCGAAACGAGTCCAATGCGAATGAGAATCGTCCCGCAGAAACTCTGCGTGTCGATATCGATCGCTTGGATCACCTGATGAACCTTGCCGGTCAACTTGTCATCAATAAGGCTCGATTCTCTCAAATCGGTGAGGGGCTTCGAGAGATCACGGTCGGCAAGCGGACCTCGCAACTGCTCGACAACTTGCAGGTGTTCCTCGGCAACGTGATGAAACTCAACGGCAAGTCCGACAACAAGGGGCTTATTGACGACGTCGAGTCGCTTTGCAATACCGCCCGACGAATTCAAAACGATCTTTCCACCGCGCAACTGGAAATGTCCGAGCTATCTCGAGCCCGACACACTACGTCGGATCTATTAGAAACCGTTCATCAACTCGACCGGATTGCCGACGGCATCCAAAAGACGGTGATGGACACGCGGATGGTTCCCATCGGTCCGCTGTTCGGTCGCTTCCGCCGAGTAATTCGCGATATATCACGTTCCAACGAGAAACAGATCGATCTCATCATCCACGGCGAAAAGACCGAACTCGACAAGCGGATGATCGATGAATTGGGCGACCCGCTGATTCACATGGTTCGCAACTCGGCCGATCATGGTATCGAGCTGCCGGAAGAACGCGTCGCCGCCGGAAAGCCGGCCCGAGGGACCGTGTCGCTCGATGCATTCCACCGGGGGAACAGCATCGTCATTCAGGTCAAAGACGATGGGCGAGGGCTCGACTCCAACAAGATTCTCAGGAAGGCCTTGGACAAAGGCATCGTTACAGAAGCCGACGCCGAACGCATGACTCCGCACCAAATCTATCAATTGGTTTGGGAGCCGGGATTCAGCACGGCTGAAAAAATTACCGAAGTCTCCGGCCGTGGCATGGGAATGGACATTGCCAAGTCGAAGATCGAGGGCATCAGCGGTAGCGTCGATCTCGACAGCACGCCGGGCGTAGGAACCACGTTCACGATTAAACTTCCGCTCACATTGGCCATTCTGCCAAGCCTGCTAACCGTGATCGACGAGGATGTGTTCGCACTGCCCGTCGAATCCGTGGTGGAAATCGTGCGAGTGCCACGCAGCGAGGTTCGCACGGTGCATCAGCAGCAAACCACGACCGTTCGCGGACGCGTCGTTTCGGTGGTCTACTTGGCCGACTTGTTCAAGTGGAAGTCAGACGTCGCAGGTCGCACGGCTCAGGAAGACATCACTCTGGTCATCATTGGATCGGAAGATCGTGAGATCGCTTTGGTGGTCGACCGTCTACTGGGTGAAGAAGACGTCGTCATCAAATCAATGGCTGAAAACTACAAAAACGTTCGGGGAATCGCCGGCGCCAGCATCTTGGGCGACGGTCGTGTGTCGTTGATTCTCGACACCGGGGCAATCATCGATATGTCAACCGCAATCGAAGCCGAAGCGGCTATCTAAGAGGAGACAAACAATGGCTGAAGTCCGCAAAGTAGGCGACCCCAGATTGGAGCTGCTGCATCAACTGCTTTCAGCGGCAACTCACGATGCATCGGCCGCCATGAGCTGCTGGACGAGCGGTCTTATTACCCTCTCGCTGGACGAAGTCCGAGAACTGCCGCTCGATCAGGTGTGCGAAGAGTTAAACATGTCGGATGACCTGCTCACGATGGTCGTGCTCAGTCTCGAGGGCGAGATTGGCGGGGAAATGATTCTGACATTTGACGAGGAGAACGCTCGTCATCTGGCAGGGACTTTGCTGAACCGCCAGCTCGAGCCGGGCGGCGAATGGTCAGAACTTGAACAATCGGCCCTAACCGAAACAGGCAACATATTGGGTTGTGCCTATATGAACGCACTCACCCGCCTAACCGGAGTCGAGTTGGTTCCGTCACCGCCGTACTTCGTCCAAGATTTCGGGGCGAGTGTGTTGCAGCAAGCCTTGATGGTGCAGGCAATTACGGCCGACAACGTCATGGTGTGCCGTACACGCTTCGAACGCGACGGCGAGGCCCTGAATTGGAACGTATTCTTTATTCCGAGTGCCGAGCTTCAGAGCCGTATGGAAAACGCCCTGCATCTGGCGAACTAATCCGACCTCACCTCGACTGAAAGCCAGCAAGTCAAAGGCTCAGGCCAAATTACTGAATCAACTATGAGCAATTCAGCAACTTCGTCTACCTCTGCTCTCTCCCGTCGGGTGGGCCTGGGAAAGGTCGAGATCGCGCATGCGCCAGCACAGCTTACGGCCATCTTAGGCTCTTGTGTCGGAATCGCTTTCTACGATAGTCAGACCGCTACGGGAACTCTGGCTCACGTGGTGATGCCCGAAGGAAACAGTAAGGCATGTGTTGAAGCCGACCATGCCCGTCGGGCCATCAAAGAATCACTGACGATGCTCGAGCAAGCCGGCTGCAACCTCGACAATGTCATCGCGAAGATGGCCGGTGGAGCGAAGCTCTTTGGGAACAACAAAGTGCGTGATCGCGGGCACGAACACCTCACGGCAGTCTGTCGTGCGGTTGAGGACGCGAACGTGGAACTAAATGGAGAAGACTTAGGAGGCTCGAAGGGCCGTCGCGTAACACTCGACGCACAAACCGGCGACCTACTCATCGAGACTCCTGGAGAAGGCTCGATGACTTTGTAGCACCCTTGGTTGCTACGAAAATCACAAACCGCAGTGCTCTTGAATAAGATAAGAAATCATGGCCCGAAAGCTACTCGTAACCGACGACGCCCCGATCATTCGTGAAATGGTCAAAGACGCACTCAGCAGCGCAGGCTGGGAGATTGTGGGCGAGGCCAGCAACGGTCAGGAAGCGATCGATCAGTTTCGTACGCTCCGTCCGAATGCCGTGACTCTGGATATGGTTATGCCCGAATTCGATGGGATGCATGCCTTGAAGGGTATTCGGGAGCTGGACCCAAACGCTACGGTAGTGATGGTCAGCGCAGTCGAGCAAACCGCCGTGCTCAAAGAGGCGATTCAAGCCGGGGCATCCGACTTCATCGTAAAGCCGTTCGAAAAGAGCATTCTGGTGGAAACCCTGAACAAACTCGTGCCAGATCAGCCCACGCTCACGGCCTGAACTCCCCTAGTCGGCGAGTTTCCTAGCGAAAACCCTGTTGTCGGAAGCAATCAGGCAGGAGTCAGACACGATGTCAGCTCAGACGTTGCAGCGCACATGGAACTACGCGTCACTCGCCCGCGACGCATACCGTCTTAAAAAGTCCCGCGACGAGCGCACCGCACAAGCGGCTCGAAATCATCTAGTCCAGCGGATGGGACGCATGCGGGGGCTGCCTCAAAAGCTTGGCCAAATGCTGAGCTTCTCGAACGAGCCTTCGACCAGCGAATGTGCCAGCAGTTCATTCGAGACGCTGCAAGAAGCGGCCGATCCCCTGCCACTCGAAACGATTCTCGTACAGCTACAATCGGCTTGGGGTTGCCCCTCTGAGCAGGTGCTTGCCGAGATCGAGCCACAAGGCCATGCGGCATCGCTTGGGCAGGTGCATCGAGCCCGACTGCACGATGGCAGCGAAGTGGCCATCAAAGTTCAATATCCGGGTATTCGCGATGCGGTTATTCATGACCTCAAGATGCTTGGCTGGCTGAGCATTCCCGTCGGCAACCTCAAGCGTGGTTTTGATCTCTCCGCCTATCAATCGACCGTACTCGATGACCTTCAGTGCGAACTCGACTATCGCCAAGAAGCCCACCTGCAAGCAGCATTTGCCGACTGGAGTTCCGCTTCGAATTGGCTCGATGTTCCCAGTCCCATCGAGCAATGGTCTACGCCGACTGTGTTGATGAGCTCGTGGGAGGAAGGTGAACACTGGGAAGATGTCAAACGGAATTGGACCGCGGCTGAAAGGCGGCAGCTCGCACGGGCCTTTGTCCAGTTCTTCTGCGAAGGATTGTTTGGCCGAGGGCTAGTGCACGCCGATTGGCATCCAGGCAATCTTCGCTTCCGTCGCCAGGGTGATAAGGTCTCGCTGTTGGTCTACGACTTTGGCTGTGTCTTTCAGCCGACACAGCAGCATCGCCTCTCCCTGCTCCGACTCATTCGTGCCACCGGCACGCGCTGCGAGCCTCCCCTGCCCTTGTTGATGGCTTTAGGGTTCAACGAGGAATATCTCGCACCGATGCAGGACAAACTTCCCGCCTTGTGCAAGGTGCTGTTCGAGCCCTTTACTGCTGAAGCACCCTTCGATGTCTCGCGGTGGCGTCTTGGCGAACGGGTGGGGGATATCCTCGGCGACGACCGATGGAACTTCCGCATGGCTGGCCCGCCGCAACTCATTTTCTTGCTGCGAGCCATGCACGGGCTGAAGTATTACCTGCAGGGACTCGGAGAATCCGTGCCCTGGACGCGGCACATTCAACCTCACCTGAAGGAAATGGCAGAGGAATTGGACGCCCTCGAATTGCCGCAGCCTCGAACCACTGGCAAAGGCTTCGAATCCCTCGCCAAGCATCTGAAAATTCGTGTTCAGGAAGGTGGCGCGACCAAAGTGCAGCTCACCTGCCTGGCTTCGGCGATCGATGATCTGGAAGAACTGTTGCCAGTGGATGTGAAACGACGAATCCTCGAACGGCGTATCGATCTTTCGGCGATCGTCAGCGACGTCCGTCGTCGTGGCTACGCACCGGGCGAAGTGTTTCGGCTCAACGACGGTGACAAAACAATCGAAACCTGGCTTGAGTAGCTATCGGGCGGTCTAGCTCAGCACTCGAGAGAGTTGTTTTTGCACCGTCTGTTCGATCTTGCCCTTGAACATGACAGCGGCCAACGGCAAGTGGCCATGCAGGTGCACTTCACTCGCTTCGACCTTGAGCGTTCCATTGGTCGAGAATCCCATCGCTCGAAATGAGAAGTCGACCCCTTCCTCGTGCCAGGTTTCTTGCAGGTCGTTCAAGTGGGTGCCGTATTGAGCTTTTGCTAGCTCGATGAATCTCTGCAATCGCTCGATTGCTTCCTCACGAGTCAATTCGTGCGGCTGGGATATCTTCAGTTTTGCCATCGCATGTCCTTCTTAAGGCATTAGCCGATTTTGGTTTTCAATTCTTCGAGCAGCGAGACGGCGTGCCCAATTTCTTCTTTTTGCCGCGCAGGATCCTGCGGGATCTCACGCTCGATTGTCAGTGGACCGGTATATCCCAGTCGGTCGAGTGTGCGGAGGTATTCCTCAATGTTGACCTGCCCTGCCCCCAATTTCACCTCTTGCCCCCACTCATTACCCGGGTTTTCGGCCCAGAGGGCATCTTTGCAATGCACACTACGCACGTACTCGCCGACCTTCTCAAGCGCTTCCAAGGGTTTGCCCGAGCCGTAGAGAATCATATTGGCCGGGTCGAAGTTAACAAACAGATTATTGCATCCGACATCCTTGATGAATTGCACTAACGCATCGGCAGTTTCCTGCCCGGTCTCCAAGTGCAGTGCCTGGCCATTGGCCCTGCAGTGCTCACAGAGCCCTTGGGTTACTTCGAGCACTTCACCATAGAGCGGGTCGTTCTTGTCGTGCGGAACAAACCCTAAGTGCAAGGCCACGACATCCACCTTTAGAACCTTGGCGAAGTCGGCGATCTCGTACATCTCTTTCGTACGTTCGGCCCGAGTTTCTGCCGGTACCAAACCTACGGTCTTAGCCACCGTTGGAATGTCCGCATAGCTTTCACCGGCAAACCCTCCGAAGACGGCCGTAGTCACCACGCCCGCATCGTCGAGCTTTGCCAGGAACTCTTCGGCGGCTTGCCGCGTTCGATTGGCCTTCGACGGGGCGTGCAGTTGAATGGTCGGAACACCCAGTTCACGAACCACGTCGAACTTCACCCCCAGTCCTTCATCAATGCTGGTAAATACACCAATCGGCCATTTTTCCACAATCGTCTCCTTGATAGGTGTCCATCTACCGCCACAACAAAGCAAGAACCCGTGCTATTGCGTATTACTCCAGAGGAAACCTCTGGGGTGACTTCTGATCTGCGCCGAGTCTTCGGGTAATGTCACTGCAAAATGTCTATTGCTTGCGGTGCCCCGCCACCAACTATCGCAGCTTCCGGTCCGATCTTGCTGCGTAAGAGCTTGGTCATGGCCATTTGAATTCTCAAGCTTTTCGCACCTTCACGAGTACTGCGGTTGAGTGCAACGTGCCTTATCCATTCGTCAGTATGTACGCTGTCGGCATGCCGCCTATCGTACCACAATCAGTTGATTTCGCCTAAGGCTAAGATAGGGTTCAAGTGGAGAGGGAGGACACTCCCCCTCTGTTAAAAGTATTGCGAACCATGGTGTCACATTGTCGCCCAATCCTTCCATCCGGCTACAACCTTGAAGGGTCTTTCATCCCCGCAGTCGCCAACTGCACCGGCAACATGGTCAACGCCAGAGCTGAACAATTCGCTCTGACTTCTGTAGCACCTTTGATCTGACATCTTTGCTACCCGACAAACATAGTCGGGGAGGAGCAACCGCTATGCGCACACTGATCGACCGAAGTTCGTATCGGGAAAACTCAAGCCGACACACACAGCGAAGCACACCGCTCATTCTTTGCGTTGATGATGATCCAGACATCCAAACCACCATTGAATTGCGATTGCGAGAGTACGACGTCGAAATCGAACAAACCTATTACGGCATGCAGGGTATCACTCAAGCACTGGACACTGTGCCCGACCTGATTCTGCTGGATGTTGCGATGCCCAATGGAAATGGAGAGTACCTTTTGGAGTGCATGAAAAGAAATCCCACGACCGTCGACATTCCGATCGTTGTGCTGACAGGTATGCGTGACCCATTGCTTAAAACCCGCCTTCTACAAGGAGGGGCATCCATCTTTTTGCACAAGCCGATCCATTTCGACGCATTGCTTCATCAGATGAGTCGATTCATTGATATTCGCAAGCTGGAAAGCGACACGATATGATTCACCACGAAGAAACCATCCGTGTTCTACTGGTCGAAGATGATGCCGAAGACCATCGGCTATTCTCTCACCAATTGAATAAGAGTGGCTATCACATCGAAGTTGATTGGGCAGAAACTCTGGCTGAAGCCATCGACGAGCTTCGGCATCAAACGTACGACGTGGTCATGTCTGATCTCTCACTGCCTGACAGCCGGCCTCAAGGTACCATCGCGAATCTCAAGGGGTATTGTGCGAGAACCCCGATCGTAGTTCTCACGTCGATGGATGATGAGGTTATGGAACGGCAATTGATGGCAGCCGGTGCTCAAGGCTATCTGGTAAAAGGAGAGTTTGGGGGGCGTGCCCTGGGACGAACGATTGTGCACGCGATACAGCGGCAGGAGTCGATTAATGAGGTAAACGCCTTGGTTCGAGAGCTGGAGCACAGCCAACGGATGTTGCAAGAGCACTCCAAACTTCTGCATCAGAAAAATGCTCGCTTGAAGAAGCTCTACAGAACCGCACAAGAGTTCGTGGACAATGTATCGCACGACTTTCGAACGCCTCTCACCGTCATCAAGGACTATGTCAGCATCATTTCCGAGGGAATGGTGGGTGAGATCAACGAAGAGCAGCAAAAGTTGCTCTCTAAGGTCGCGGTGCGAGCCGACGATCTGAATAACATGGTCGACGATCTGCTGGATGTCAGTAAGTTGGAGTCGGATCTTCTGGGTGCCTGGAGACGCAATGTCTGGGTCGAAGAAATACTGGAACGGGCAGAGTCACTCTTGCGACTAAGGGCGGGGATTCAAGGGGTTGAGCTTGTAACAGAGTGCGAGCCCGATTTGCCGGCTGTGTACTGCGATGCCGAAAAAGTGGGCCGTGTTCTCACGAACCTGGCAGTAAACGCCATCAAGTTCTGTGACAGTGGCGGAATCGTCAAACTATGGGCTAAAGCCGATCCGTCCCATCATCAAGTTATTCTTGGTGTGACGGACAACGGGCCCGGCATCGACCAAGAGTCGCTTCGAGACGTTTTCAAGCGGTTCAAGCAGTCGGACGAGCACGTGAAGAATACCTCGAAGGGTTTTGGTCTTGGGCTAAGTATTGCCCGGCAATTGTGCAGGCTGAATCTTGGTGAACTCCAGGTCGAGAGCAAGGTAGGCGACGGAAGCACATTTTCATTCAACCTCCCTGTGGCCAATCCCGTTGAAGTGCTATCCCGTTGGCTCGAGTTAGACTCGGGGCGTATCGATACCTTCAAGCTGATTGAGATCGTGGCTGAAGATGTTTCGGCTGCACCGCTTGGAGACTTCGACAACTTTCTCAACTGTTTGCTACGAAATCATGACCTGCTTCTCCGTGTGGGTGTGGCACGGTGGATGTTGGTGATGGCTGTTTCACCCAGTGAATCGAGCCAGTGGTTCGAAAGGATGCGAAAAGAATTCGACCGCGTGAACCGAAATCGTCCGTTGGGGGCCTTGCCCAGCTACCGGGCCGAGATTCGCTGTGAATGGAAGGCGAGTGATTCGAAAGCACAGCTCTTAGAGAAGTTTAAAGATCTTGTAGGTGAGGCGGACCTGGCAACTCAAATGGTTTGATCGAAAAGGGCAAACTCATGAACGAGGTCGAACGTGTGCTAGTGATCGATGATGAGGCTGATATCCGGGACGGAGTCAGTCGCTGGCTTCGCGCCGCAGGCTTCGAGGCTGATATTGCTGAGGACGGGCAGCAAGGTATTGAGTCTGCAAGGAACTTGGCACCCAGCGCTATCTTGCTCGACGTATTGATGCCCCAAAAAGACGGAATGACCACCCTGGCAGAGCTGAGGGCAGATTTTCGTACCGTAGGTATTCCGGTCATTATGCTCTCCGCAAGTTTGCGCAATGAGCAGCGGGCTCTGGATGCGGGGGCAAAGTTCTTTGTAGTCAAGCCATTCGACGGGAAAAGACTAGTCTCCACGGTTAAAGCTGCGCTAAAGCAACGAGAGCCATTGACCTGCTATTGAAAATATGATCCAGGTGTTATGAAGGTCTTTACGCATTTGAGCGAGGAGACCGAGATGACGACGAAGCGACGTAAGCGGCATACGCCGGAGCAGATTGTTCGTAAGTTGCGAGACGCGGACGCGATGCTCAATGCTGGGAAGGACCAGGCTGCTGTATTGCAGGCCCTGGAAGTGAGCGAAGCCACGTATCTGCGTTGGCGAAACCAGTACGGTGGGATGAAGGCCGAGGAGGCGAAGCGGCTGAAGCAACTGGAAGACGAGAACAGGCGGCTGAAGGAGTTAGTGGCCGAGAAAGAACTCGACATCAAGATGCTGAAGCATATCGCGGAGGGAAACTGGTGAGCCCTTCCCGGAAACGAGCGGCGGTCGGCGAGCTGCGCGAGGTGTTCGCAGTTTCCGAGCGAAGGGCGTGTCAGGTGACTGATCAGCCACGCAGCTCTCAGCGTTACCAGCCGCAGTCTCGTGATGACGAAGCGGCTTTGGTGAAGCGGATGCGTGAACTGGCCGCCGCTCGACCGCGTTTCGGTTATCGTCGGATTGCCGTGCTATTGCGTCGCGAAGACTGGGAGGCCAGCAACACGCGGGTGCTGCGGCTATGGCGTCGCGAAGGGCTGAAAGTGCCACAGAAACGCCGTAAGAAACGCTACTTGGGCGACAGCAGCCAAGCCTGTCACATTCAGCGAGCCGAACATAAAGACCACGTGTGGTGTTGGGACTTTGTGTTCGATCGCACGGAGGCCGGCAGCCCGTTGAAGTGGCTATCGATCGTCGACGAGTACACGCGGGAGTGTTTGGCTTTGAAAGTCGACCGCAGCATCACCAGCGAAGATGTGATCGACTCGTTGGCCGAGCTGTTCGCGATGCGGGGCGTGCCCGGTGCGATTCGCTCGGACAACGGCCCGGAGTTTGTAGCTGGTGCAATCCGGCGATGGCTAAAGCAAGTCGATGTCGAAACGCACTACGTCGCGCCGGGCAGTCCATGGGAGAATGGTTACGCGGAGAGCTTTCACAGTCGGCTTCGCGATGAGTTCTTGGAGATGGAAATGTTCGAGAGTTTGGCCGCGGCACGGAAGCTGACCACGGCCTGGAGAAAGGATTACAACGACGTGAGGCCGCACAGTTCGCTGGGGTATGCCACCCCGTCCGAATTCGCGACCCGCTGTGCTGCTTCCGTTCCGAAGTCGATTTCGGCTACGCCTCAATCAACTTCTCCACTCCAGCAGCACAGCGAAATACCCCAACCCACACCTTCATAGCAAGTGGTACAGAAATTTAAGGCTGGTCACCATGCCTAGTGTAACAATCTCTCTTCTTCAGCACCTAAGATAACGCACCATGAGAAAGTTAGTACTGATTGCGGATGATGACCTCGATGTCTTGGAACTACTCGCCCGGCAGTGCAGTGATTTGGGGTTAGATGTCGATACGGCGACCAACGCCATGACTGCACTGGGCAAAGCGGAGCAAGATCTTCCAGATCTGGTCATTCTCGACATTGAGATGCCTTATGGAAATGGCCTTTGTGTCTGCGAGATGATGTCGCAGCACGAAGAATTGTGTTCGATTCCTGTCATCATGCTTACCTCGTCCAGAAGCGAAGCAACCATTCGCAAATGTTACGAGTTGTGCGCGTATTATGTTCTAAAGTGCCCAGACATTAGGCCGAGAATCGAACCCTTACTACGTCAGTTACTCGAGATAGATGGTCCTGGCGGGCCAAGTAGGGAGGAAGAAGCGATCATGAGCGGAGTGTGCGTAAAACGACCCGAATTGATGGAGACCGTATTTGCCCTTCTCGGTGTGGAAGAGGGGCATTCGCTCTTTGAAGAACCCAATGCGGAAGAACAAACTCGATCAGATGAGCCTTGGGTGTTGCTCATCGAGGACGACGACGACTTTGCGATGGCGCTACAGATGAGGTTCACAGAATTTGGCGCGAATGTGTTACGTGCTTCCGCAGGTACTGAGGGCTACCGCAAAGCGTTTGTCGAAGCCCCGCGGGCCATCATCCTGGACTATCAGTTGCCAGAAGGGAATGGCGATTATGTCTTGAGAAGGCTCAAGGAATCTCCAGCGACGAGTGAGATACCCGTAATTGTGCTGACTGGCATACGGGAGGCCAGTGTTGAACGTCAAATGCGGAATTTGGGTGCCACCGAATTCTTCACCAAGCCTTTTGATTGGAATCGTCTCAGGGCTGCTGTCGATAAGCATCTTGACGCAACTATTGAGCCCGCAGAGAATCCGTGTGAAGTCTCCGTCTAGAGATTGATTTGCAAGTCTGATTATGCCCCCGCTATAGACGGATCTTTGAAAGTGATTCGATCTCATTCTCGCCTAGGGGGCTATGATGTTTTTCGGAAGTGGCGTAAATGCGACATTTAGTAAGTCGTATCTGATGTCATACGTGTGGGGTTGGGTCCTCGTCTTAGGTGTCCCGTTTCCCTGCGCGATGGCAGATGATTTGCAACTTCCAGTCAGCCTCACCGTGCAGGCTGAAGATGCTGGAGCGAGTGTTTGCTGCAATCCCAAGGCTCAGCATTGTCACCCCAGTCTCCGCTCTGCTGACGAGGTCCCCACGACTGAAAAAGCAGGCATGATTAACTCAGTGGGACTCGCTTGGGTTTTCGATACCTCTCCCTACCCACCTCGTTGGCTCTGCGGCGACTGGAGCCCGGCCATGGGGTGGTTGCACATCTATTCCGATGTGGCCATCTGGAGTGCCTATGTGGCGATCCCAATCGCTCTCATTCTCTTTACGCGAAAGAAAACCAGTTTGCCATTTAAAGGGCTCCTGTTTCTCTTCAGTGCGTTCATTATTAGTTGTGGATTTTCACATTTAATGGAAGCAGCTATCTTCTGGTGGCCTGCATACGGGCTGTTAGGGGTCATTAAACTCGTGACGGCAATCGTATCCATCGTTACTGTGGGAGCCCTAGCGGTAGTTATTCCTCAAGCGTTGAACTACCGAAGTCCTGAACAGCTAGAGGAAGAAGTGCAGATGAGAACTCACGAACTGGATTTCGCGAAGCAACAGGCCATGAGGATCATCGAGGCTTCACCCGCTGGAATGGTGATGATTGATCGAGAGGGCAAGATCATAGTGGTCAATGCAATGGTCGAAAAGATGTTCGGTTACAGCCGAGCTGAAATGCTTAATCAATCGGTAGAAATGCTCTTGCCCGAACGGTTTCGAGCAGCACATCCAGGGCAACGAGATGCATTTTTTGCCTCTCCCAAAGTTCGCGCCATGGGAGCCGGACGCGATTTGTATGGAAGGCGATCTGACGGACAAGAGTTTCCGATTGAGATTGGCTTGAATCCTGTTGAGAGTGAGGAAGGCCTGTTTGTATTGAGTGCGATTGTGGATATTAGCGAACGTCAAAGACTGGAACGTAGAATCGAGGAACATGCTGAAGAACTGGCCACCTTGAACGACGCCCTTTTGAAGAGCAATCAGGACTTGCAGCAATTCGCATCCGTGGCTTCTCACGACTTGCAAGAGCCTTTGAGGAAAATCTCCTCCTACTGTCAGCTTTTACGGGAAGAATGCGGCGATGGCATCAGTGCAGATGCTCAGCACTACATCGATGTTGCGATTGACGGTGCTGAGCGTTCAAAGACTTTGATCAATGACCTCCTCTCCTTCTCTAGGATTACCACGCGTGGCAAGCCTTTGAGGCCTGTCGACGCAAGTAATTGTGTTCAGGCCGCATTGGCAAATCTAGAAATGGCGATTGAAGATAACAGCGCCCAGGTTACTGTGGATCCTTTGCCCGTGGTGATTGCAGACAGCAGTCAAATGGTCCTGCTGTTTCAGAACCTAATTAACAACGCCCTGAAGTATCGAGGTGAAGAATCGCCACAGATTCACATCGGAGTACGCGAACTCGAAGATTGTTACGAATTTTTTGTGAAAGATAATGGCATTGGGATCGAACCGCAGTACTATGAACGAATCTTCGAGATTTTTCAGAGGCTGCACAATCGTCGTCAGTACAGCGGGACGGGCATTGGGCTAGCGCTCTGTAAGAGGATTATAGAGCGATTTGGGCGTGATATCTGGGTCGACTCTACCCCTGGCGCAGGAAGCACCTTCTATTTCACCTTGAATAAATTACCTGAAGCAGGATCTCCCGATGGCAGAGTCAATGAAGCCGACTCAGTCGCTGAATCCAGTTGAGATACTACTCGTCGAGGACGACGATGATGATGTGCGGTTAATGACGACCACGTTTAAGCGAGACCGGATCTATACCAAGATCAATCGAGTCGAAGACGGCGTTGAAGCCATTGAATACCTCAGGCGAGAAGGCAAATTTGCTCAGGCCCAGCGTCCGGATCTGATCCTTCTTGATCTGAACCTACCACGCAAGGATGGACGAGAAGTTCTCAAGGAAGTGAAGGAAGACCCCAAGCTTCGCGACATCCCAGTCGTCGTGCTAACCACCTCCGATGATGAACTAGACATCATGGAAAGCTATCAGCATCAGGCTAATAGCTATGTCACGAAGCCGGTCGATCTGCTGCAGTTCAGAAAGATGCTGCAGACACTACAAGACTATTGGTTCAGCGTCGTGAAGATTCCAAGTCGCGACAACTAATTGCAGCAGGTCCAAATACGACGACGCCCCTCGCACTTAGTAAATCGCTGAAGTTCCGGCCGACCCGATCTTACCGAGTCCCTTGTCTGAGGCACCCGCCGATTAAATCTGTCGCGTGCAGGGCGCTACGCCTTCACAGACGGAGCAACACCCTCGGGCGTTTCGTCGCTATCGATATCGAACCACTCCGGCTTGAATTCGATTTGCTTCCGCTGGGCGATAGCCATGTTGGTCGTCAAGGCGATCACAGCATCGGCCAGCGCGACCTTCGGGTGACAGCGAGGACGATTTTCAGGGTCGGGATTGCGGATGCACCAGGCCCAGTGTTCGATTTCTTCCGTGTAGCCACGGCTGATCTCGCCACCGAGGGCTCGTTCGCCCACGTTGGTCGAAGCACTGGCACCACCGCCCGTCTCGTACGAGTCGAGTGCCGGGCCGTCAGCCACCTTCACCTTGGTCGAAGTGGCCGAAGTCTTGAATAGCAGGGCTTCTTTCTCGCGTTCGAGAATCAGCGTGCCCTCGGTGCCCAGCACAACTTCGCCATACCCGCCGTAGCCGTTTCCATTGATCGAGGAGTAAGAAACAACGCACTTGTTGTTTTGCTCTTCCTCGGTGCCTCCGGCAACGTAGCCCGGCGTGGGGTATTCATAGTTGCAGTAAACGTGGTCATCGCAATCGCGGTCGGGCGGGAACAAGTGCCGTCCGCCGACCCCGGTGACGGTAAGTGGATGAACCTTGTTGCCGTCGGGATCCATCGAGGAGATAAAGATGCCTGCGGCGTCGAGTTGGTGGCTTCCCAGTTCGGCCATCAGCCCACCGCCAGTGCGGTCCCACAGTCGCCAACGAAGCAACTCTTCCAGTGGCGAGCGTACCCGACCGTCGGACAGGGTTCGTTCTTCATAGCCGTGCGAAGCGGCATCGACCGAGGCGTCGAGCAGTTGCAGTTCCAGTAGCTCACGACGCTTCGTCAAAGCATCGAAGCGACTTCCCGAGGTCTCGCGCTCGAGCTTGTTGTTGATGTCTGTAAGTTCTTTCTTCAGCGTATCGGGCAACTTCACCGCCCAGCTATCTTTGCCCGGCAGATTGCCTCGGTGCCATTGGGCCCGAATGTGGTGAATCTTGCCGATAAGCCCGCGGCGAATGGTGTCGACCGCGTTGTCATACAGAATGCTGTAGTGGCGTTGGTGCCCGGTGGCCAGGTGCAAGCCGGTCTGTTGGGCGACACGACCCATTTCCTTGCACTCATGCACGCTGTGGGCCATCAGCTTTTCGGTCAGCACGTGCTTACCCGACTGCATCGCTTCGATGGCGACAGGTGCATGCAGGAAGAGCGGCAGCGCGATGATCACTGCTTCGATATCTTCGTCGGCCAGCAAGTCGTGATAGTCTTGGTCGTAAACTTTGACGTGCTTTTTGGCTTCGCTCTCAGAAGACCAGCCATACTTGGACATCAAACCGGGGCGAGCTGCCAATGCGCTGGGGCTCGACTGATCACCGTGGAATGCACGGTGAATGTTGTAAGGTCTGATGTCGGCAATCGCCTTGATCTCGACGTAATCGGGTGTGTGAGCGCCCATCAGGACACTTCCCTCGTCGCCGGTGCCAATCACACCCACGCGGATCGGGTTACCCACTTCTCGGCCGTAGCTGAAGTAGAACGAGCCCAGGCCCGCGCCCGAAACCACGCCCGCGGCGAGGCTGCCTTCGAGGAACTCGCGCCGCGTGAGTTTGTCACCCACGACACGATAGAAGTTTTCTTTACCGACAGCGCGTTCTTCAGGCGTCAGTTGCATCGCTTTGGCCTCTTCCGAACAGTGGACGGACGAGCAGGTAATGTACGAAGAAATCCAGGCCACCCCAGCGACCCACATGCGTGGTTGCCAGGGCGAACATGGCTAACATTTCCACAAATTCTTTGTTCACCAGCAGGGCATGCCCCGAGGTGGGGGGCGCAGGTGGGTAAATCGTGGGCCACTCGGGCTGCGCTCCAATAATCGTAATCAGAAAAATCGCCCCGCTGAACGCAGCCAGCCGGGTGAATAAACCAACAATCAGGCATGCCCCGACGGCGATATTGAACCAAATAACAACCATGTCCATACGGGCCAACAGGTTCGGTTGTTCGTTCCAGTCTCCGCGGGCTCGCTGGCTGGAATCCAGCAGAGACCGCAGGTCGTTGAAGTAGCTGTCCTCAATCGACTCGACCTGGGCAATCCAGGGGGTCGACTGGGTCATCAATTCCCGCTGTTTGTCCCAAGTCCGCTCCCGTCCGTAGGGAACTTCTTGAATCTCTTCGTTATCCTGGGCCCGCCGGAGCTTCGCCAAGTCGGCAAAATAGACAATCCCCTCGACCTTCTCGCCATCCGCGTTGGTGGTCGAGTAAACCTCGAGAGAAGAGTCCAAAAAGTCTTTGAGCTGTTGCGTGCGCAGTTTCAGTGCTTTTTCGGCGGCAGCCTGCTGCTCGGGGCTCAGCTTATAAGTGGCCTCGAATTTCTCATGAAGCGACTTCCAACGGCCTGCCATCGTATCGAAATCAAGCCGCTCCTCGCCAAACAAGTCGGGCAGCATGAACTCGTGGTACAGCGGAGCCAACGGACCTTTGGCCGCCCGCCAGAACGGTTCGGAGCTGAAGGTCGGCACGGCCTGCGCCTTCCACAGACCCTCGTACAAGAAGTGCCAACCGATGCCGATCCGGAGCAATACCAGTGCAGCGACGGTCAGCATTCCAATATGGAACACGCGACGTTGACTCAGCGGAATCCTCCAGCCCAAGGGCGGAATGAGTGTCGCACAGATAGACCTGCGGCCAGTGCGGCAAGGATTAAGGGGGGAATCTCAGCCGGGGCGAGACTCCCGCCATTATAACGTGCATCTCGCCCTTCGCCATGAGTTGCGTCGCCGGAAACCGGGGATTTCCGGGGGCGCACAGGGCCCAATTCTGCGAAGAACTGCCGATTCTGCGTTATGAACTGGCCCGATTTCGGTACAGCGAAGGCTCGACCACCGCCTTCATGGCCGCCGTGTCGAGATTGCCCAAGAAGGCCTCGAGTTCCGCGATGCTCGGATCGGGGTTCTCCAGCACTTCGTTGTATTGCACCTCGATCAATTTGAAGTTGTCGGCATGCTTATCGACGTAGGCCTGCACCTTCTCGATCTGTGAAATGTAGAGCTTCTTAATTTGCTCTGCCGGCAGATCGTCGGTGTTCTCCCCTTTTCGCTGCAGCATCACGTTCTGCGAGCGAACCACCTCATCGAGGTGACGTCGCATGAACACGACGCGGTATTCGTGGTCCAGCGGGAGGTCCAACAGCAGCAGGTGAACCATCTTTACGACCTTGCCCATCGAGCCGGCCACCCAACTCGCATCTTCCTTCGTCTTCTTAACCGGTTCGAACTCGTAGTATCCGCGAGGATTGTCCTCGTCGGCCTCGCGAATTTCGTCGATCAGCACGGGGATTCCGCCGGCTTCGAGCATCTTCATCATCATCGACGTGCCCGAGCGGGGCAGGCCGGAAACAATCGTCAGGTAAGGGCGTGACGTCATGTGGATTCGGCTCAATTTCAAGAAGGCAAAAAGGCTGCTGGTTGACCATCGAAACCAACCCCCGTAGAACCTAATTCGGCCCGCTGGCACTGTCCAGGGTTGAACTATCTCAAGCCCCCAAATATTCCCTGGTGAGGAGCCTTTCCCGGTGAGTGACGCCCCCCCAAAGATTCTCGATACGCCCGAAGGGGCTTTCTCCTGCAAGGCGGTTCGCCGTGCCACGATACTCGCCCGTCAAATCCAAAACGAGATGGTCACTCCGGCTCTGACCAAGGGAGATCGTTCGCCGGTCACCGTGGCCGATTTTGCTGTCCAGGCCGTGGTGTCGAAGTTGCTCAGCGACGCCCTGCCCGACGACACGCTGGTCGGGGAAGAAAGTGCCGGAGAGTTGCAGAAACCCGAGCAGGCCGAGTCGCTGAAGCAAGTCACCCAGTTCGTTCAGTCCGTCTTCCCCGAATCCACATCTCAAGCGGTCTGCGATTGGATCGATCGCGGGGCAACCGAGCCGACTTCGCGGTTTTGGACGCTCGACCCAATCGACGGTACCAAAGGCTTCCTCCGTGGCGGGCACTATGCGGTTGCCCTGGCTTTGATCGTCGATGGCCGCGTTCAACTGGGGGTGCTGGGCTGCCCGCACCTCACCGACGGCTGGAAGGACGAGATCGGCGGTCCTGGTTCGGTGCTGGTTGCTGCTCGTGGACAGGGAACTTGGACGGCTCCGATCGAAGGTGACGAATGGACCCCGCTCAGCGTTTCCGAGCGTTCCGAGCCCGCCGAGGCCCGCATGCTACGCTCGTTCGAGTCTGGCCATACCAACACGGGGCAACTGGGCGAACTGGTCGAGGCATTCGGCTCGAAGGCCGATCCTGTGCTCATGGACAGCCAGGCGAAGTACGCTGTGCTGGCCGCCGGGGCTGGCGATCTCTTGCTGCGACTGCTCTCGTCGAAACAGCCCGACTATCGCGAAATGATCTGGGATCAGGCGGCCGGCTCCATCGTCGTTGAGGAAGCCGGCGGGCAGGTGAGCGACCTGGACGGAAAGACCCTCGATTTCGCTCACGGACGCACGCTGGCCACCAATCGAGGTGTGTTAGCCTCAAACACTCATCTACATTCGGCAGCTCTGGCGGCTTTGAAATCGATCGGCGCCTAGGCTCCGACTTACCGTTGCGTCGGTTTAGTAGAACCGGATCGAGATGCCGGACCCTGCGAAGAAATCGTCGGCTGCGTCGTTCAGCCCCACACCCGCGCGAATGTCCCACTGGATGTTGTTATTGATCAGGTAGGTAAACCCGCCATTGAAGTAGTGCTCAGGCTTAGCTGTATCTGCCGATTGCGGGAAGAAGGCGAACCATTCGGTGTACGCCCCCCATTGCTCGGTCAGCGAATAAGCGATTGTCCACGACTGAGCCCACTCGGTGTAGGCCCCATCGGTCTCTTCATCGAGCGTACGATTGAATTGGGTGCTTCCGCCAGTTGAAATGAAGTCGTTCACTTCCCACGCGTAAACCCAGTTGAGACCAGGCAACACTTCGTCGGAAGTCTTCGACTTGGCACCGGTGGGCACCGTCAATTGTGGGATGAGGGCCATCTCCGGAAGCAAGCCTTCCTGGGGTGTGAGACCAATTTTGAAGCCCAGGTAAAGGTCTTCGCCGCCTTCAGGAGTAATCAGGCCGTCGTCCTCTTCGCTGTAAGCCCAAGCAATACGAAACTCCAACCAGTTGGCGAGAATGCCGTACCGCAACAGGGCTTCGGGGTAAGAGTGAGACTCGGTAGTGGTCGTTCCGTCGTCGTCGCGGAAGTAGGTGTAACCCGCTTCGAGCTGCGCAACCCCCTGCCCCACCGTAGAACTGGCCTCGGTGAAGTCGGGCCGGTCGGTCACCAGCGGAGCGTCGAGATCGGGCCCTCCCGAGAAACTGGTTCCGTAGCTCCACTGAAACAGCGTTCCCCGCGGCTGGCAATCGCAAGGGCCATAGGAACAACGTCGCTCATCCGCTTCCAAAGCAGAGTTGGAGCAGAGCACCGTGGTTAAGATTGCGACGGCGGTCTTCAAGTGCTCACGTAAGTTTCGCACAGCGGGAGGGTAACCTGTCATAGCTTCGAGCCTTTAGGTAGGTGGATCGATTTGGGGCCATTCATCGTTCGGCCCGGGCAGATCCGGTTCAGCCGCTCTCAGTTGGGATGCAGCAAACTGAGGTAAGGTAGGTGTTTTAATCTTCGGCACACCCGGTGGTTTTGTGTGGCAAAAATATGTTTTTTGCCAGTCAAAATTATTTTGGGGGGCGTTTTTCGCCAAATGAGGTGGTATTCCTCGAATGGGTTGCTAATAGAAATTCTTCATGAGACTCGAACCAGCTTCACTGCTGAGGGGGTGGGATGTCGCGACCATGGGGGTCGGTCTCTGGCAACTCCAACTCGGCGGCCAAGTCTTCGCGCAGGCTGGGGTCGATGTAGTGCTCGAGGCTATGGGCCGAACGGTGCTGACGTTCGCCCGAGAGAGAATCGAAGTGCTTCTCAAGGTAGGCCTCCCAGAGACGATGCGTTCGCACCAGGTTTTGGGCCTCAGCCTGACCCGCGGGTGTGAGATGATATCCCGCAGGCGTCCGCACGATTTGCCCCATTCGCTTCAAACGCGAGATTGCCAACCGCAGTAAGATCCGTCCGAATCCTCTGGCGTCGTGAAGTAGTCGCGAGAGGGTGGCCGCTTGCGTGCCCTCGGGTTGGATCTCGTCGAGCCGATAAAGAAGCCCCATCACATCTTCGCAAGCGATTCGCAAGTTGAGCGAGGCCGTTCGGACGATCCGCATGACAATGCCCTGATGAGGGCTGACCAACACGGCCAGCGCGAATAGCACTCCGCAAGACACAGCCATCATTCCAGCACTGCTGGCTCCCACTTCAGCCCCCAACCCGATGCGGCTGAAGAAGATCGAGGGAAGAGTTATGGCCGCCGCATGGCCCAGCACAGCACTTAAAGCCGCGATTACAACACTGAGAACCACCATCACCCATAGCCGTTCAGTAAGCAAATACGCTGTGGCCGGCGGTACGATGAGCATGGCAATCACCAAAATGCTCCCCACGGTTTCGAACGCGGCGACCAACGTGGCGGCCGTTACGGCCATTAACCCATAGTGGATGTAATTTGCTCGAAAGCCCAAGGCGGTGGCCAAGCCTGGGTCGAACGTACTGATCCGCAACTCTTTGAACAACAGTGAGACGAGTATGGTATTCACCACCAGCATCAACCCATTCACGATCGTAAGCTGAGGATCGAGTGCCGCGGTTTCCACCGTTCCGTACAAAACACAATCCGGATCGAGGTCGACACGATCGGCGTAGAGTCGAATCAGAAGCAGTCCCACAGCGAAAAGTGTGACGAACACCACTCCTAGGGCGGCAGAGCTTTCGACTGCCCCCAGTCGGCGTACGGCTTCGGAAAGCAGCGCGGTGAGAATCCCCACGACGATGGCCCCGCCGAACATCACCGCGTGCCGCACGAATGCGTACGACTCATCCGGCACAATTCCGGCCGATTTCATTCCGAACACCGCCAAGAACGAAACGGCAATACCGAGCAACACCGAATGACTCAGCGCATCGCCCATCATGCTTTGACGACGCAGCAGTAAGAAGTTGCCCGGCAAGGCACAAGCCATGGCCGCCAGCGCAGCAGTCAACACAATCCACGTATCGAGGGTGCCCCAGTCGCTAAGCATTGTGTTGAATTCGCTAAGCATGGCGGATTTTGAGTCGTTATTCAGGTGTCGTCTGTATTCGTTACTCTGCCGAAGTGAGCGGCTCGTCAATCGTATGCGGGCTGGGGGGCATCACTTGCAAGTGGGGGTACCGCTCGCTCAGTTGAGCCTCGATTCGGGCCACAATCTCAGGTTCCAGCGCGTGCTCGCCCAAGTCGGCGTAGCGATCTACCCGGCTGGGAGCGATGTCGGCATGTTCGATTAGGTACATCTCCCACAAGCGGTGGTTCCTCGCGATGTGTCGTGCCCGTTCGAGTCCTCTGGCGGTCAGCCGGCACGCTCCTCCGGGGGTAATCCATAGCAGGTCATCGCGTTCCGCGGAGGCCAGCTCTCGCCGCAAGCGTCGCGGGCTCCAAGAACGCCGCTGTTGAAGTTCATCGAGCGGAATCGACTTCACCACCACATCATCCGAAGAACCCGCTGCTGCGATGAGAAGCGGTTCAACAAATTCGTAACAGGTCCGCAAGAGATGCTGCCGGCCCACGCGGCGTTGCAGTCTGCGATGCTCGATGTACCGCGATAAGGCACCCCGCCTGGGGCTGAACACCATGCTGATTACAAACAGCACGGCCCCGGCCAGAATGATGATTGGCCCCGCGGCTAGGTTTGCAAACACGGCGCTGGCAACCACGCCTAACAAAGCGGCCAATCCGCCAATGACTGCCGAGACTAAGGTCATTGACTGCAAGTGGTCGGTCCAAAACCTTGCTGATGCCGCAGGTATGATCAGCATGCCGACCACCAAGAGCAGTCCCACACTTTGCAGACCAATCACCGTCACGACGGCGACCATACCCATCAGGATCAAATCGAGCCCCACCACCGGCCAGCCTTGCGAGGCCGAGTAGCCTTCGTCGAAGCACAGCGCGGCCAACTCTTTAAACAGCAGTGTCGACAGCACAAGAACCACGCCGGCGCAAATTGAAATTAGCTCGATATCCGAAGCGACCATCGCAGCCGCCTTGCCGTAGATGAAACCCTGCAAGCCTGCCAGATTACCCGAGGGCATGTCTTGCAGAACGGTCATCAGTGCGATGCCGGCCCCAAAAAAAACGCTCAACACAATGGCCAACGCGGCGTCTTCCTTGAGCCGGGTATAGCGGCGAATCAGCAGCACTCCGCCCACGCCAAGCAAACCTGAAATCATCGCCCCCACCAGAAGCCCACTAAGCGATTTGCCATGCCCTGGCCAGACGGTTTCGACGAACAGAAACGCCGCCGCGATCCCGGGGAGCGAGGCATGGCTGATCACGTCGCCCACCAACGCCCGCTTCCGCAGTAGCATGAACGTGCCCACTACGCCGCTCGCGACGCCAAGCAGTGTGGTGCCAAGCAAGACCACGCGCGTGTTGTAATCGCGAAGCAGAATAACGCGTGTGAGTTGGTGAAAAAATGATTGGTCAGTTTCAGATGAAACTGTCGCAGGGAGTGCCGGGGCTTCTGCCGCAACTACAGTTGGATCAACAAAATCGAACCCGTGAATCAGGAGCAGGGCTATAATCAACGGCACAAGCATCCGAGGAGTGAGCAGCTTCAACCCACTGGTACTGCCAACCCCTGTAGGGAACGCCCTCCGTGGCGTTCCGCATTCTGCGTGGTGCTCGGAACGCCACGGAGGGCGTTCCCTACAGATAGCCATCGTAGCTGGAGCATTGGAACGTCGGCGGACGGATGCCCAGCCCAAGCATTTCCTAAGAGATAGTTTGCGACTTTCCACCGGCATCATTCCTCTCCGGTGAGTTTCAGTCGCTGTCCCACCTCGTCTAGCAAGGCGAGCTTACCTCCATAGGTGGTTCGCAGGTTGTCGGAGGTGAAGGTTTTATCGGTCGGTCCCGCGGCCACCACGCGCATGTTGAGCAGTAACACGTGATCGAAGTAGTCGGGCACGGTCTGCAGATCGTGATGCACGACCAGCGCGGTTTTCCCCGCGGCACGAAGGTCGTGCAGGATGTCGATGATGGCTTTCTCGGTTGAGGCATCTACCGAAGCCAGCGGTTCGTCCATCAGGTAGAGTTCAGCTTGCTGAACGAGTGCCCGAGCGAGAAACACGCGTTGTTGTTGCCCACCAGAAAGTCGGCTAATTTGCCGATGGGCATAATCAGCCATGCCGACCCGATCGAGTGCTTCAATCGCCTGCCGGCGATACTTGCGGGTGACGGGCCGGAACCAGCCGATCTTTCGGTACAGGCCCATCGCCACCACGTCAGCGGCATTCACTGGGAAATCCCAGTCAACACTCTCGCGCTGCGGAACATAGGCCACTTGATCACGCTGGCGGCGATACGGCCGGCCGAACACCAAAACTTCGCCGGAAACTCGTGGCAGCAGTTCCAGAATGGCCTTGAGCATGGTGCTCTTGCCCGCGCCGTTGGGGCCCACGATAGCCACCAGGCTGCCACCCTCGGGTGCCCGAAAGTCGACTTCCCACAACACCGGCTTACGGTGATAGGCCACCGTGAGGTCGCGGATCGAAAGAGGTGAAGTCATAGCCGACGGGCGATCATGAGAGTTCGTTTCCCCTGCAACTCGATGTGTGGTCAGGTCATCGGCGGCACGCGCTTGTGCCAGGTGCGGGTAACGATTATTGGCGGTGGTGTCCATTAGCTGGGCCTGGGATTCTGATGATACCAGCGTGCGGGTCGAATGGCGCTACTCTTTGGAGAGTTGTCCCTGAAAGCCCTGTTCTGGGGCTTCTCCACCAAGCGCACGGGCGATAACGGTGGCGTTGTGATCAAGCATGCCGACGTAAGTTCCCTCGTAAGTGCCGGGGGCACCCATCGCGTCGGAGAATAGTTCGCCACCAACTTCAACTTTCCAATCCCGGTTGGCTGCCCCTTCGATCAGAGCCTCGATATTCTTCTGCGAGACACTCGACTCAATGAACACCGCGCGGATCTTATTGTTGACGATGAAGTCAACCAGTTGATTGATATCGTTCACCCCGGCTTCCGACTCGGTGCTGATGCCTTGCACCGAACGCACCGGAATGTCGTAAGCACTTGAGAAATAGCCAAAAGCATCGTGGGCAGTAATCAGCACCCGCTGACCTTCTGGGATGCTCGTGATGGCTTGGCGAACGTAGCTGTCGAGCTCGGCAAGTTTCGCTTGATAGATTTCTCCGTTCGCACGGTAAGTCTTAGCCCCTTTTGGGTCGAACTGACACAGAATGTCGACCACCATCGAGACTGCTTGGCTCCACGCTTCGACATCCATCCACACGTGTGGGTCGAAGTGCCCTTCGAACTCGGGCGGCTCGCGAAGGTAATCCTCGTCGAGTACTTCGCTCACGGCATACACAGGCTTACCACTTCGCGCAACCTTGATGAAGGTTTCGCTCATGCGACCTTCGAGCAGCAATCCGGCGTAAAACACGATGTCGGCCGACAGAAGTTCCTTCACGTCGTTCCGGGTGGGTTTGTAAAGATGCGGGTCGACTCCCTCCCCCATCAGCCCAGTAACTTCACCTCGGTCGCCGACCACGTTCCGCACGATATCGGTGACCATCCCGCAGGTAGTCACAATATGAAACGGATACTCCCCTTCATAAGGTGCGATCGCCCCCAACTCGCCAGGTTCTGCAGGAGGCTTATGACCGTTCGAATCACAGCCAGTAAATAGCGCGACGGAAATCAGTACCGCGACAGATGCGAGACCAAATCTCGCGAAAGTAAAAGACAGATTCATCTAGGGCATCCTTGGCGAGCATGAATTTTGATTAATCAAAACTATTATTGAGCGCATGCGTTGTGTAGTCAAGTCGAACTAGGCACGACCGATCGCTCGACGCCATGCGTGGCGCAACATCATATGGGCAATAAACTTATGTCAGTATAGGATGGTCGCACGGATGACTGTGACAGGCGAAATAGCTTGCCACGCACAGCGCGTGCTAAGCGGCTGGCACAAACCAAGGGAGTCGTCAGAGCGTTACAGCCGGGGCTGGGGGAGCTCGGCAGTGCGAGGGTCTTCCGCTTCGGTGTCGCGACCGTTCTCGTGATCTTCTACGACACGGACTACCGCTTCTTCGTCGGGCTGGTCGCCTGGGGAGTGGAACGAACCGGCGGCTTGTTTTTCATCGGCCGGTTCCATCACTTCTAAGAAGCGGGCGTAGGCCTGATACATCAATGGCACCAGGAGCAGAACCCATAACGTCGCGAATGCCAACCCGAAGGAAATCGCGGTCGCCATCGGCATCAGCAACTGTGCCTGCATCGAGCGCTCGACGAGAATCGGCACGAGCCCCGCGATCGTAGTGATCGAGGTCAGCATCACCGGGCGGAACCGGCGACAGCCTGCATTCACCAAGGCTTCCTTCAGCGATCCACCCTTGTCGCGGTGCTTATTGATGAAGTCGATCAACACAATCGAGTCGTTCACCACCACACCCGAGAGCGCGACAACGCCAAACAGTGTGAAGATGGTCAACGGCATATTCATGATCATGTGACCGAACACTGCACCCACCAGCCCGAACGGGATGACGGCCAGAATGATCAGTGGTTGCGCGTAAGAGCGGAACAACAAGGTTAGTAGCATGTAGATGCCAAAGATGGCAACCACGAAGCCATTCATCAGGCTGCTCATCGACTCTTCGGTCTGTTCTTGCTGACCTTCCCAGCGAACGCTTAGGCCGGGGTATTGCTTGAACAGATCGGGCAAAAAGCTTGCTTTCAGATCGGCTACCACTTCGGCAGCGTTGGCCACATCCTCGTTGAGGTTCGCCTCGATGGTAATCGAGCGCTGTTGATTGATGCGGACAATCTCCGAGGACTGCCGTTTCAGATTCTGTTCAGCCAACTCAGTCAGCGGGACTTCGCTACCCCACGGGGTTCGCACGCGAAGCTCTTGGAAATCGGCCAGCGTCCGGCGGTCTTCCTCGGGATAGCGGACCATGAGTTTGATCTCATGGCGTCCGCGTTGCAGCCGCATCGCCTCTTCGCCGTAGTACGACGATCGAACGGTGGATGCCAGGTCGTCCAGTGTGATGCCCATGGCTTGAGCGCGGGGCAGGATTTTAAGGTTGAACTCCCACTTTCCAATCTCATCGCCGTCACCCACATCGTAAACCCCGTTGTAGTTGGCCAGCTTGCCTTTCACTTCTTCCACGGCTGCGGCCAGCATTTCAGGGTCGTTGCCTTGCAGCTTGAACTCAATGGGCTTGCCACCCGGGCCAACTTGCATATTCTCGAATTGAATCCGCTCAGCACCTGCGATTGGGCCAACTTGATCTCGCCATTCGGCCAGAATCTGCCGGCTTGTCACGCCGCCACGCTGCTCGGCACCAATGAGCTTCACAAATAGAGAACCAAAGTTGGTCCCAACCGAAGCGGGCCGCGTGGGATCTTGAATCATCGACCCACCGGAGCTGCGGAACACGTGCTCGAGGATCGGCTTACCTTCGGCGCGATACTTGGCATCCAGTTCTCGGATGCCATCTTCGATCTTCTTGGCAGCCGCATTGGTCACCTTGATCGGCGTACCCGAGGGAAACGCGACGTTGCACAGAACGAGATCGGCATCAACCTGAGGGGCCAACACGAATGGTGTGAAGCCACCCTGGATCAGCCCGGCGGTAATGATCAATGCAGCCGCCGAGAATGCAAATCCTACCGAAGGCCAGTTCAGCAACCACCGAAGTGTGGGTGAATAGTAGCCATGCACCACTTTCTCGATGCCCCTATCGACCGCTTTGCGTAATCGGTCGTAAGTCTGAGTAAGTGGTTTAAACGTGGTGTGGCCCAAGTGGCAGGGCAGAATAAAGATGCTCTCGAACAGCGAGAATAAAAGCAGCGCGATAATCACCGTCGGCATGATGGAGATGAACTTGCCCATCAGCCCGGCGACGAAGAACATCGGCATGAACGCCACGACGGTGGTCATCACCGAAGCGACCACCGAAGGAGCCACTTCGGCCGTGCCATCGACCGCCGCCTGCACACGCGACTTTCCTCGTTGCCGGTGTGAAAAGATATTCTCACCAATCACAATCGCGTCATCGACCACGATACCCAGGGCCATGACGAATGCGAACATACTGAGTTGGTTGAGCGTCTGATCGGTGACGTAGAGAACGGCGCAGGTTCCCATCACCGAAACCGGGATTCCCAGGGCAACCCAGAAGGCCAGTCGTATATTCAGAAACAGGCTCAACGTGAGAAATACTAGAATCAAACCGAAGAGTCCGCTGCGGTACAGCAGATTCAAGCGGCTGTGCACCTCAACCGAGGCGTCGTACCAAATGACTAGTTCGTAGCCCTCTGGCATGCCTCGGTCTTTGGCGAAGTCGCGAATTTCCTGGGTTATCTGGAGCAGATCTTCTTCCGAGGTGCGGTCGATCTGCAGCGACATGCAGGGGCGACCATCCACATACGACATCATCGTCGTATCGGCGAAGCCATCGACCACTTCTCCCAAGTCGCCAACCGTGAGCACCACGCCATTGGGCTGCGTAATGACCGGGAATTTGGCAATCTCGGTGCCGACTAGCTGGCGATTAGTCCCCCGGAGGAGAAACTCGGAACTTTCCGAGCGAATGGTACCGGCCGGCATTTCGACGTTCTCACGCCGGATCGCCTCCGCAACATCCTTGAGTGTGAGGTTGTACTTTCTGAGCGTCGACTCGGAGATCTCAACGTCGATCTGATAGTCTGGCGCGGCCAGGATTTCGCACAGCGAGACGGTCGGCAAATCGAGAACTTCGCGGCGCACCTCTTCAGCCAACTCGCGCAGTCGCCAGCGGGCTGAGGGCGTTTCGCTATCGGGCCCCATCACCGCCAAGTGAATGGCCGGCAACCGACCAATGACTTCGCGAATATCAGGCTCTTCCGCCAACAACGGGAAGCTGGGTATTTGGTCCACCGCCGAACGAATGTCATTCACCACTCGTTGCGGATCGTCGACATGGGCATACAGCGTGGCGGTCACCACGCCCACGCCTTCGCTCGAGACTGAAAGTACCTTCTCGATACCGTCGATCGAGTGAATCGACTCTTCGATCTTGCTGCAGATCCCCTCTTCAACCTGGGCCGGCGTCGCGCCCGGGTAGGGAACCGAGATGGCCACCATGTCCATCTTGAATTCGGGGAACTCTTCTCGCCGCAGCAGGTAACCGGCACCAAGCCCGATCACGATGATGGCGATCATCATCGTGTTCATCGACGGACTGTTCCGTACGGCCCAGGCGACGACGGCTTTCATGGAGTGTCCTTTTCTCTGATAGACATTCCATCGATGGCCGTAGCCAACGGCGACACAATCAACTGATCGCCAACCTTGAGGTCGGTTTCGTCAGCCCGAATGAGAATCCAGTCGGGTAGCATTTTTGCTACCTGCACTTCATGGATACGCAATTTGTCGCCTTCGAGCGTCCATACCTCATTATTCAGGTGAACGGCCTCGGCTGGCAGTCGCAAGATCGGAGTTTCCGGGGCGGCGTGGAATGCCACATTCACGAACATCCCCCGGACCAGGGTTGGGGGCCAGTTCGTTGCTGCCTCGCGGCGGGGGTTAGACACTTCCACCAGGCATGGCACGGTGCGGGGTTCTTCGTCGATGCCGCGCCCAGCATAGCTGGTCAGTTTGCCTGGCCAGGAGACTTCTCGTTTCCCCAGTCGATAGATCACGGTGGCGTCAGCCGGGGGAGCTTCGTAGTACGGTCGGCCGGCTTCTTGCTCCACTTGCGGCATTCGTCCGGCGGTGCTCCACAACCAGTACAGGTCGTCGACCCGAAGGTTGCAGTGCACTTCTACCGACGAGGTGTCTTCGATTGTGACCAGTGCTGTGCCGGGCGTTACATACTGTCGCACTTCGACGGGGTCGCTGCTGATGTAGCCTGAGATGGGGGCCATCACTTTGGTGTTGGCCAGATCGATTTCAGCCGTTTCGAGTTGAGCCTGCCGCAGTTCGAGTTCGGCCCGGGCTTTATCGATGCTCGAAGGCAGCAACGCCTGAGTATTCACCAATTGCTGAAGCGCTACTCTTGCTTGAATGGCTTCGACTTCGGTACGGTCGCGTTCGCCTTCGGAGATAGTGCCTTGCTCATGAAGCCGATCGACGCGTTCGAGTTCTGCTTCACGAAGCTCGGCGTCGCGGCGATTGATCTCAATCATCGCCACGTTATTCATCTGTTCTTGTTCGAGTCGCTTCACCTCGGCTTCGGCTTGTTGCACCAGGTTTCGAGCCCGTTTCACTTCCAGCTCAAACTTGTCGGGCTCGATCTCCATTAGCAGTGTGTTGGCTTCGACGTACTTCCCGGCGTCGCACACTTCCGACTTGGTGATCACCTGACCTGCAACTTCCGCGGCCACCGTTAATTCACGTTTGGGTTCAACAGTACCGTCGACAATGATGTCGAACTGAGAGGGGCTCTCTTCGAGAACCCGCGTGATGACGAGCGGGCGTTGGTCCTCGACCTCACGTTCTTCCGGAGGGGCCTTCATCGATTTAAGGCCGAGAAACGCCAGTAGCGAGACGACCAAAATGCCTGCCGGCAAGCCGATGTGACGCCAATCAATTCTTGCGATCATAGATTGCCCACCACGGGACTTGGGCACGGTTGGAGGAAGGTTGTGTGGGGTGGGTTGAGGGCTACCTGGAGAATGTCTGCGGCCGGTTTATGGCACGCTTCCGGCCCTTGGGTTTGCCGCCCAAATGCAGTTAGCTATTACAGTGTGACTCGAAGTTACACAGCGTGCAATGTTGCTTTTATGACAACAATTCGTTTCCTAAGAATTGTTGGGATTGTTCGCCTGCAAGGTGACAAAAAAGGCACCTGCAAATATGAAGATTTATGTCCTGCCCATGTGCATGATTGCAGGACAAGATGTCGCAGGCGCTGGATAGGTTCGCATTCCCCCCAAAGATGGGCTTTTGCGAAGAGGATTGGGCGGGTTACAGCAGCGATGAAATCAAGCTGCGCGTCGCAATGCAGGACTGGCCGTATCTTCAGCCACGCGATCCAAGATATCTACGAGCGTTGATGACCACCGCGAGACGCTGTAGTCGCGCTGCACGATCTCATGCCCGCGTGCCCCCATTTCCTGCCGTAGCGAGGGGTTCTCAGCCAATCGCTTGATGCCCGCCACCCAACCTTCGGTATCGTGAGCCAGCATCCCTGTGCGGTCGTGTAGTACGAGTTGTTGATGCATGGCGATTGGGTTGGCCACCACAGGAAGCCCCGTGGCCATGTACTGCAGCACCTTCAGTCCACACTTGCCATGGCTCCAGACATGATCTGGTAACCAGCTCACACCAATGTCACCGGCGGCGATCTCTGCGGCTTCGGTCTCACGCGTCCAGCGGCAGCGTTTGATCTTCAGTTCCGGCCACACAGGGAATTCATCGCATATTGTATGTAACGAAAGCCCACCGACTGCGGCGGAAGCCTGAGCCAGATGAGGCCTGGCCTCTTCCAACGAGGCCAGAGTGCTCCCACTGCCTATCCACACCAGGCGGGTCGCAGCATCCCGCCGATGATGCGAAGCCGGCTCATACAAACTCGGGTCGATGCATGTCGGCACCATGTGAACCCGCTCGGCAGGGATGATGCGGGAAGTCTTTTCGGCGAGGTAGCCGTTACCCGCGATTACCGCGTCGCACATCCGGACGAGTCGGGCGAACCGATGCATGCGTCGGGCGCTATTGGGCGACTTGCGGGAGTTGCTGTCGCGAAAGAACACCGCATCATCGAAGTCGAAGACCATCCGTGGCACACGCTGACGTAACGCATAGGCATACCACGAAGGCAGTAATCGTCGCTGGACAAGCAGGACATCGCACTCAGGTAGGTTGCGAAGCTGGAACAACCGCTCGGCATTTCCCTGGGCGACGGGCACGGCTTCCAGGGTCCACCCTCTAGCGGCCAGCGTTTGCCGGAATGCGGCCACACGATAGCGGTAACAGACGTGATCCCGAGATTCGACCATCGCAAGAAGCCGCATCGTAATTCCTTTTCTATTTCCCAACCGTCTCACCCGAAACAGTGACGAACGTCACATGGAAAAGATTCGGTGCAAGGTGGGTCAGGTTATCGAAGGTGCCCCTAGGCAGTTCGGCAGTCTCAAGCCGATGACGGTGCTTAGGTTCGCTGCGCAACGACCATAATGTTGTCGGCCCGAGCTGCACGTTCGGTCCATCGTGCCATTCGCATGGCCAACGGTTTCCAGCGACAAGCTTGTAGACGCAGCGTACCCCAGTCGGCCGCAGTGGCACGTCGGGCCGATTGACGAATCCAGCCGTCCATGCCGAGTTGCTCGACCCGATGAACCTTGAGGCCCTCGGACTCGACCATCTGTCGTAGTGTGGTCGGCGTGAAGTGCGTGAGGTGTCGCGGCAACTCCAGTCCGAACCAGTGATGCCGGAATCGCGAAAACGACCAGCTATCCAGGTTTGGCACCGAGGCATAAAGCCAACCACCACAACGAAGCAACTTCGCCGCCGCGCGAATCACTCCCCGCGGATCGGGAACATGCTCCAACGCCTGCCACATAGTCACCACATCGTAAGAAGAATCTTGCAGATCGTTGTGCGGAAGCGTTCCCACATGAACCGGAACGCCGAGTTGTCGTGCGACTTCCGAGGCCACGTCCGCAGAGATATCCAACCCTTCGACCTTCCAGCCCAACTCTTGCATCCGTCGCAAGAAGCCACCTGCCCCGCAGCCAAAGTCGAGCATCCTTGCGCCGTCGCCGGCAAACGGAATCCAGGTGCTTCGTCGTAACGGCGTACGAATCCACATCCGCCCGAGTACCGCTGAGGCGACCGTATTAGGCAGGACCGGTTGCGGAGGGTAGTTGTATCCATAACGCAGCACCGCTTGTTCGGCCGAGCGACGCAAGCGAGCGCGAAGTCGCATGTCCCAGTTGGCACCGACGTCGTGGCAACTGTAATCGTGAGGGTAGAACTTCGAGATCGACTCGCTCGTGGGGCGAGGATTGGTGATGGCCAGATCGCAACGGCGACAACGCACCAGCCGAAAGTCGTCGTCAGTCGCCCCCAACGGATCACGAGCCGTGAGCAGTGGTTCGAAGTTGCTGCCACCGCATTGCAGGCAGCCCACCGTTTCCACAGGCACGCTATAGCGATGTTCTTCGCTGGAGCGACGAGTTGTTCTTACATCGACTGCAAATGCCATCGAGACCTGTCTCCCACACTTCGCTTCGAACTCACGATCCGGCAACGCTGCCGTAGAATACTCGATGTGAAACTATGTCGGTTATAGCGGTCGCGCAACTTTGATCCGATCGCAGTAGTTTGAATTCATTAGCCACTGCTGTGCCAGCAGTGCTGTCGGCTGCGGGGCTGTTCCCTCTTTTCCTCCGGCCTTCTTCTCGGAGTGCCGTATTACCTGCTCGATTCAGTGCCGGGGCGTCGAGCCACCTTCGCCATGCTTGCATTCTGAATTACTTCAGTTGCTAGCTGTGCCACCTTCACGGCTCCCGCCTCATTGAAGTGACAGTCGTCGTAAAACGTATCCGTCGACTTAGCTAGTCGCCCGTCGAGGTCCACCAACTCGATCGTTTCCTCCCGACAGACCTTTCTCATCCGCTGGTTGTAAGCCTGCATCGCCTCGGCCAACGCTGACGAACTTCGGTAAGTCCCGTCAGGACACACGCCGGCCCAACACAGCTTCTCATTTTCCGGGGTGATCTCCGCAGACCACATGCATGGCTGGGTCATAAAGATCAGTCGCTTCTTCTGCTCGCGGGCCAGAGCGACTATCTGCCGCAACCTCTGCTCGTACTCCGTGAGCATCGCCGTCATGTCGGGAAGATCATTGATCTTCACCCCTTCCATGCGTCGCTTGCGGCTTTCGGCATACCAAAGACCCTGCTTGTCTTGCACGACCTGGCCCGTTGAGGACCACCCCGTTCGCAACGCATCACACATCTGCGAGGTCGCTGCCATACAGAAGGTGTTTCGATAGATGGGATGCCTGAACCGCCCCCCAAACCCCGGGCGACGATGCGCAAAGGTGTGCCGCCATGTGCGTTTGACTTCCTTTTCGTAGACACCGGCCAATTGCTGGCCCATGTCGTTCACGCCACACAGCACGACCCAGCAATCGACCTGCCGGGCCTCGGGCAGATTACTCAACAGCGTTGCGTGGTCTACGGAGTTGAGCCCACTTCGCCCCGCGTTGCCGACCCACACCCGGTGGCCATCACTCTCTAATTGACGGGCCATCTGTTGAATCCACGTCCGGCCATCGTCCTGATAGAGGCTTTCGGTCGTACTGCCCCCGACACACAGAATGCGATACTCGTCATCCGCCCCGAACTCGGAGCCTCGCAGCCCGCGGGAGTTAATCGTGAATCTGCCCGGCTCATCAATCCCCGGCAGCTCGTGGGGCACCACACGACACGCATATCCCGGCGGCCACACGTACCAAGCGAACGGTCGTTCAGCATCGTAAGCCATCAAACCGATGGCCAACTCAACCACGATCCAACACCCAATGGCCGACAATACGGCGAGTGCCGCCTTCGCCGGGACACGCCCGAGGACTGCAAGCACGAGCAAGCCTGTTAGCACACCGAGTAAGGTCCAATCAAGCGTGCGAACTCGAAATCCAGCAATCTGCGCGTAGATGATGTCTGCAACGATCAAAGCCGCCACCGAGGCCAAGGGCCATCGCAGAAGTTTTTCGATTCGATCCATCGCAGAAATTCCCGCCGAGGCGGCCGCCGATTTCAGAACCCACTCCACTCGAGCAGACCGCCCGGATGTTAGCCCTGGTGGAAATCTGCGTCTGCGCGGATTTATCTGCTCCGCCCACTCGGCGCTGCCCACCAAATTGACCTATATGCAAATGAGCGGTTTCGTCGAAACGACGACCGGTTCTAGCGTTGGTAGCGACTGAACCGTCACAGATACGGTTCGCAACGAATAGAGGCCCAATCTCATGGCAGACGAATCGACCACTTACCTCGACGACGAGGAAATCGACGGTGAAAACCCGTTGGCATCGGAGTACGAGAGTTCCGCCGATGCTATCGCGGAAGACGCCTGCCCAGAATGTGGCAAGCCAGGATTGGGCAAGAAAGAAGAGTGGTGCCCCCGTTGCGGGTTCTATCCGCGGTTAGGGATCAAAATCGAAGTCGATCCCGATCCGGAAGAGGCCCCGCCGAAACCCGAGACGGCCATCGACATTTTAAAACAAACCCCCGCCTGGATGCCTGTGATGCTCGGTGGGTTGGTTGCCTTGCTGGGGATGAGCATCGCGGTCCGCCTGTTGATTCCCGTGGACAACATCGCCCGACCGTTGTGGGCCATCGGGCAATGCTTGATTGGCTTCATGGTCTTTATGGTGATGCACATCATCTCCTACCTCTACGCCATCGTCGAAGATTCGGCCTACTCCGTGGGCGACATCATCTTGCGACCGCTGAAGGTGTGGGGCCCGACGATCAACTCGCTCCCCAAAACCTCGCGACGCGTTTGCCTGGGGGTCTGGGGATTTGCCGGCTCGATTATGGCCCTGACCGTCGTTGGCGGTATTCCTTACCACCTGCTGTGGGAGATGGGCCCTGAACAGCAGGCCAAGATGAACCTTGTGCAAGCCATCTCCGAGCAAGCCCAACAGGTCGAGGGCGATGCCGATAATCTCGAAGACGCGATTGAGGACTTCACTGGCAAGGCGGGAGATTTAGAAGAGGAAGAAATCGAAGAAGTCGATCCTTACGAGGCTCCCGCCCGAGCACGTCACATCGACTGCTTAATCCTCGGTTTCGAGCCCGACGGTGAAGGCAGCTTCTCTTCGCTGGCCCTGGCTGCCGTACGCAAAGGGAAGCTGCAGTTCGTGGGTGCCGTGACCAATCAATACATCAATCCAGAGACTCGCCAACTCATGATGGACGAAATGGTGCTCCACGAAGTGCCCAAGCCGTTCGTGAAGGCCAGCTCCACTCGATTCACCTGGTTGGCTCCCAAGCTCACCTGCAAGATTGGCTATAACGCCTGGAGCACCAGCGGGAAGCTAAAGGACGCCGTGTTCGACAAGCGTCTCAGCGACCTGGAAGATCGGTAGCCAAGACGGACCGCTTATACAGTTCATCGTCCCGCGGGACGTAGCGTGATCGACTTCAGGTCGAACAGTGCACCCTCGGGCGCATGGCTGGGGCGAATGGAAACCCGCTGCAGGCCTTCTTCGAGTTGTATCGTCCCAATGCCGCTACGCTCGTAGGTGTTCCAGCCACCGGTACTGCCGACCTTGCCGATAAGCTTCTGGCCGGCGACCTCGATAACAAACGAGTTGCCGGCGCAGTCATCGGGGCATGCCCAATCGAGCAACACGGCGTACCGCCCTGCCCGTTTCACATCGAGCGTCCACACGGCACGATCGTCGGAGCTGTACCAATACCCCAGATTCTGGTTCTCCGGCTCGAAGATGATCGAGCTACCGTAAACCTCGCAGTTGGTCGACAGGCAGAAGAACTCGCGCCTCAAATCGTCGGGTTGCACCACGTGAGGTTGGTTGCCGGGGAAAACCTTCGGCTTGGGGCCTGAAGAGCCGACGTAGGCAATCACGTCGGCCATCTGCTGTTGATTGAGGTCCTTCTCCAGCCCCTCGGGCATAAGCGACTTCCCGGTGCTCACCAGCTCGTCGATTTCATCCCGCAGAAGAACCTCGGTCTTACCTTCCTGCCCCAGTAGCGTGAGCGAGTTACCCGACTCGGAGGCAAGAATCCCGGTGTGGGTCAGTCCACTCTGCGTGATGGCCGAGTAGCTGAGGTATTGGGCCTCAATCGCGCGATTGGGATCGAGGATGGCCAGCAACATCGCTTGCGGAGACTTGTCGGTGAGCGCGGCCAGGTCGGGCCCCACGGCGTGCCCCTTCCCGTCGAATTTGTGACAGACCGCGCATTTCTTCGTGAACACTTCGCCTCCAGCCACGGGATCGCCCGTAAGTTCAGCCACGCCGGCGTATTCGTCCAGCACTTCCTCTCGCGAAGCTTCCGTAGCACCTGCAAAGATCGATTCAGCCTTTTGACGGATGGCATCATCACGATGGCTCAACAAGCGCTGGCGACGGAAGGCGTCCAATTCGGCTGGCAGGACAACGCCCTCTTCCACGGCGGTGAGGGTTTCCATCAACCACGCTTCGCGACTGAACAGCATCTCCAACACATCGGAACGCAGCGTGGGCGAGAAGGTCTTCCACGCCGCAAGCAGATATCCGGCCGCGCGGTCGTCGCCCGACTGACCGAATGCCTCAACGGCCGCACTCTGCAACTCGCGAGGCTCGTTTGGTCCCAATAACGCCCCCAGCAGTTCAAAGTTGGCCGCCTCACCGCCCGGTCCTCTTCCCAGCAAGCGAACGGACGCCAGTCGAAGTTCAAGCGGAGCGTCGTGCTGTTTCACGGTTTCGTGCGCGAAGTCGAACATCCGATCGATCTGCGTGGCGAGTCCTTCCCCGCCCGCCGACTCACCAAGCTGATCGGCGAGTGAGCTTCCACGCCGCGCCAGCGTATCGAGCAATCCACCGAAGGCATCGAGTTGCCACAGGGCGAATGCTCCCTGTTCATCGGGTTGCGCTACTACGCCAAGCAACTGCGTAACCGCTTGGGTTCGGTTCTCCGCGGTGGCGGTCGTCAGTAAGTCGGCCACAAACTGCGCCGGTGGCGGTGCATCACTGCTATTTGCCACGACTTCGGCCACCAATTCATCCAGATTAGGTCGGGCCGAACTCACCACGGCGGCTAATATGAATGGCTCTGCAGACCACTTCGCAGCCAACTTGCCGAGGGCTTTGCCCGCCTGGGCATCGTTCCATTCACCCAGCGTGAACGCCAACTGCAGTGCCACTTTCGCATCGTTGTCTGCGACCGCGGCCAGCACCGCAGTCGCCAGCTCGGGTGAATTCCCTAGCTTATCCTCCGACAGCCGCACGGCATGTCGACGTACCCCGGCATGTTCGTCTCGCACGGCTTGGGTGATGACTTCAGCTCGCAGTTGTCCCATCCCATCGAGCGTGCACATCGCCTGCAGCCGCCCCTGGGGAAGCTTGCCGTCGGTGACTGTCTTATCCAGCAGCGATACCGAGGTGGGATCATTCTTGGCAATCAGCAACTGTTGGGCCAAGTCGCGTTGCGGTCCATTGGGGCTGTCCAAAGTGTCGACCAGGGTCGCGATGTCGGCATCGGCCAACTTTTCGATTGGTCGCGGCGGCTGATCCACCGGGTAGATGCGATAGATGCGTCCCTGGTTGCTGCCGGCACGCAGGTCGAGTGTCAGTCGGAACTTAATCGGAATCCACTCTGGATGTTCGATGACGAAGCGGTACATGTCCACCACCCACAGTGCCCCGTCGGGCCCGGTGCGTACGCTGGTGGGGCGGAAGAAATTATCGGTCGAGGCGAGAAACTCGCTCTCCTGTTCCGAAGCATGTCGCTGGCTGCTGAAGGCCACCCCATCGGGATGGACCACTTCGCAATGCACCAGGTTGTGCACTGGCTCGCACACGAACGAGTTGCCAATGAACTCATCACCCAATAGACCGTCGCGATAGATGATCGCACTGCAGGCCGAAGTGAAACTGTCTGCTGTATGGAGGTCATTGAAACGAGCAAGTGTGCGGCTGCGAGCGAACACCGGAGCCGAGCCGGGATTCTCCGAAACATGAATGCGACTATCAGGGAACGCCACGTGAGGGTTTCGGCCCAGGTAATGCTCGGGCATAACGAAGTGCCACATGGGGTTGATGTTGTCGCTGCCGAACCAGTTTCCCCAGTCATCGCGACTTCGAATGAACTGCGTAACCCCGGTGCGAAGATCGATCTCCCCGGTTTCCGGCCGAATGCGAAAGTCGTGACCACGCAGTTCAACCTCGGCACCCGACTGAGTTGAACGCGGTGTGCCCCCGCTATGTCCGTTGGCCCCATAGATCCAATTGTCGAGGCCCCGTTCCAGCCCGTTCACCAGGTGCTGCGGGTTGCCCTTGGCGAAGCCAGTGTAGAGCACTTCCCGCACGTCGGCTTTTCCGTCGCCGGTCGTATCAGCGGCGTAGATGATATCCGGAGCCGCGGTTACCAGAACGCCCTCGCGCCAGGCCATCACACTCGTGGGATACGGCAAGTCATCTAACAACACCGTCGACTCGTCGTACTGCCCGTCGCCGTCGGTGTCTTCCAAGAAACGCACCCGACCGCCGGGCTTGCCATCAACGCCCAGCGGATAGTCGGCCATCTCGACCACCCATAGCTTGCCATCGGGGCCCCAATCGATTGCAATCGGGTCGACCACCAACGGCTCGGCGGCCACAAGTTCGACTGCAAATCCTTCACGAGCACGCATCGCCGCCAGCGAAGCTTCCGGCGATTTAGGCTGAGGGGTGACCCCATCGAGCAGATCGTTGAACGAGCGCCGATCCACCAAATCGGGAATTCGGGCCGTATCTTCGTTCTGTACCCACATCTCGCGACCGTGGAACCACGCCCCGTTGTTGGTGTCGCCGCGAACGACCATCGGGATGCGGTCTTCGTCACTACGCGGGGCATCGATCACTTCCCGCGACCAGCCGGTCTCAGAATCTGCGAAAAGATGAAGGGAGTTGTGAGTCTCGTTCGAGAACATCACGTCCGGTCGCAGGTCGTCGTTCACATCGACCAGTCGCAGCCCTCGGTCATTTCCATTCGCGTCGACAAAGGTGGCGTTTCCGG